CTCTCAGTGTTTTGTCTCCATATTCCTGCCTGTTGGCACCAGCTGATAGAGGTGTTATATAGTGCTTTATATCAGCCTGTCCTCCTACAAAAAATGACCATAAAGGCCGATTGTTCAAGCCCTTATTACGACCCAGAGACACGTTTTAAAGTGTATGTTGTTTCTTACACGACCGCTAGAGGTGCTCTAGTGGTCGTGTAAGAAACAACATGCTTGATTGCAAATGCTCCGGAGGGATGTTTATTCACAAATAACCCTCTCTGGAAAATCCTAAATTGTGGAATAGTTTGGCCATTAAAATGCTTTTTGATTCGATTTCTAGCGAGAAGTGTATATTGTACTCTTAGAATCCACGTCCAGTCGATGTGTAGGATCTATAGTTTGATAGATATTACGAAGATTATTTGAGGTCTCGCCAGGATAACGTGTATATGGGGCAGCTTCCATGTAAGGTTAGCGTGGGTGAAAACAGTTTTTCCGGTGTCGAAGTTTTCATAGTAAAACCGGATATATTCCCCTCACTATCAAATGATTACACAGTGATATCTGCAATACACATCCACTAAAAAACATCAGTTTATCCTTGTTAATTACACAATATTGATTGGTTTAAATTGTGTACAATGCTTTTGTGTTTTTAACCTTCGATTCGGAAAAACAAATAGTTTTTTCGGAGTTTAGACACTACAGAGTTTCAGAAGACACTGCACTACCCAGAATCCCCAGCTATCGTTTGGGACTACAACATCCGCCTTGCTTTACAAACCCTGTGGGTGTTTCTCAATCGCGAGTACGCTTGCTTGGTAGCACATGTCTGCCGAGCATCTTGCTTCAGAAGCGAGTCAAGAATACTTCCTGGCATTCGGAAAACAAAGAGTGGAACAGGCTAGCAAGTGTGCAGGTGTGCATCATATGAGAGGCCCCGCCTTACATCTTCCGCCACAGATTTGGGGAAATTGGTCCGTGCGCAAAGCATTGTGGGGATTTTAAGACCGCGGAGTCTACTCATGTGCAGCCTCGATATTTCTCCAAACGGAGTACGCCGGGCTCGGTAGATTTCCAAGTATGCTGGAGATTGGAACAGTACTTCGGCGGCACTCGATGACGTAGTATGCTTGAAATAGTGGCTCTGAAGCAGCTTTACTCGCGATTGAGAAACACCCCGTGATTAGTCCTCAAGCCCTGTGATTGGATGTTGGAGTGGCAGTGCGACAAGATTACGCCGAGCGTCAACAGCTCTTTGAAATGGAATGGAACCACGACAGACTATCCAAAACTGGAATTGGACGGGTCCAGCCCAGCCCCCCCCCCCCCCCCCCCCCCCCCCCAGAACTACACATGCTGGCTATAGAGAGGCGAAGTCCCTCCCCTTCCGGTTGAGCTCCATGGGACCTTATTTCGGAAAAGTTATGCATTGAAGTCAATGGAGAGAGAAAGATTATCTTTCGATCCCGTTTGAATTGTGCCACAAATTACACATATGATGTTTGTCAATTTAAAAGATAATTTTACAAGTCAAAAAAATTAAAATGTGTCGTAAAACTGTGAAGTAATACTTTTTTTGTGTGAAACCGCGCAATGAACTACATCTCCCGTCTCGCACCACACACCAAGACGGCCGTCACGTTGGCACATTTCACTTCTTTCTTTCAGAATGAGGCGAAAAGTATTAAAAGAGGTGAAAATCACTACAAGTCTGGGCATGTTGAGAGCTGTACATACACACAAGGGGAGTTAGTCGGTTCCGTAAGAGCCAGCATGCGGGACCGGGACTCTGGGATTTGTAGTCTTTCTAGTTGTGTATTTTTCATAGTCTTATATTTCAACAGTTTTACGACAAACTGTGACTTTTTTGACATGGAAATTATTATTTAAGATTGTCAAACATCATATGTGTAATTCGTGGCACAATTCAAACAGGATCGAAAGATAATCTTTCTCTCTCCATTGACTTCAATACAAACTTTTTCCGAAATAAGGTCCCATGGGTCCCACCGGAAGGGGAGGGACTTCGCCTCTCTATTGTGTGTTTCGCAACATGTTCTATGGCACGTCTCTACTGGGAATTGTAGTTTTACAAGACGTTTTCGTATTTCCCACAATTAGAAGTTGCCAGTATTAAACTGTGTACACCCTGGAGGTTTAGGGGATACGAAACACATAATAATAATAATAATAATAATAATAATAATAATAATAATAATAATAATAATAATAATAATAATAATAATAATAAATTCGATTTATAAAGCACCTTTCATTCCTAACAGCAATCCCAAGGTGCTACAGGAGGCATAATAAAAACAAACAAAATAAACAAAAGTTTAATCAAAAGCTTTACGATACGAAACACAGTGGTGTTATCCAATTTAAAACATATAATTAATAAATGGGTGAAAATTGCTTGTGTCCATGGGTAGCATTAATATACCCACATGACAGCTAAGGTCAGAAGAGCTTTATTTAATAGCTGGTCTTATGTCTGTGACCCCTCCTGTTGTTCATTGATAAGCCTGAAACATGCACTTGTCAAGGTTCAGAGGCACATTTTGCAAATATGGCAGTAGCCATCGATCATCTTAAGATAAGATAAGATAAGATATACTTTATTGATCCCAAGCTGGGAAATGTTTTTGTTACAGCAGCATACTACTTTGTTCTACCCCACTACAATTCAGAGGTTAACCTTGTATTTTTACTCCACTACATATATTTTAGTTACTTTGCAGATTCTGATTAATGATGTGAAATATAAACAACCCTTAAATCAGACTTTAGTTACACCTGAGTTAAATTCAGGGAAGGTGATTGTACTTTGTCAAACTTCATATTTATCTGTGGATACCCCCAACGTTTTTTTTCTTATTCAAAAGAAGACCTTAACTTAAAGTATTCTTTAATGTTTAAATAAAGCCTTATTAGTTTGTCTGTTTTGCACATCTTCCTATTAATATCTTTGGACGTCCTGCACTAAACTGTTTTATTGTAGAGATCACTACAGTATCTTCTTGATATTTTCTATTCTATATTTCTATCATTGACCTTCTACTTTCCCCCTATGAAAGTATTTACTTTTAATATTTTTTTCATCAAATATAACATAATTTCAACAAAATATAACATAATTTCAACAAAAAAATTCAATAACGTTTTTTAATCACTAGGTGTCCCTTTCTATCAGCTGTGCACCGTTATGGTGTAAATACAGCCTATCTACCAATTGGATCAAATATAAAAGTCAGCCGAATTAGTGTTGATACTGCAAGGAGACGTATTGTGTGAAAAGAAATCTAAGATGTTGTTTAATTGCTGATATATTTATGATTCACGTCACATATTCAGTTTCGGCTGCAGTTCTTCCAGTTTGTCCAAAGGTCTTCTCATCAGGGCTCTATAAATAAATATCTGCGGCAGATGTGTAATATTTAATGCAGCCGAACCGTGTATTACAATGCCGTTATGTGATGACTTCCAAAGAGAAAAGCAAGAACACTCGGAATAAAGTATTATTTTATTTTATTTAAATGTTTTCCGATTTCATATCGCATTAACACCATATCCCAACGTGCATTGCGGCGTGATTTTAGCCTATCAAAACCTCTGAAAAAATAAATGTGTCTCTCAGAATCGAAAGAGAAAAACCTATGGGAAAAACACAAAAGCATTGTACACAATTTAAACCAATTAATGTCGTATAATTAACAAGGATAAACTGATGTTTTTTAGTGGATGAGTACTGCAGATATCACTGTTAAATCATTTGATCATTGGTTTTATTATGAAAACGTAGAGACCGAAAATACTGTTTTCAACCCGTAACTTTACATGGAAGCTACTGCATATACACGTTCTCCTGTCGAAACCTCAAATCATCTTCGTAATATCTATCAAACTATAGATCCTACATATCGACTGGACGTGGATTCTAAAAGTACAATATACACTTCTCGCTAGAAATCTAATCAAAAAGCGTTTTAATGGCCAAACTATCCTACAATTTAGGATTTTACAGAGAGGGTTATTTGTGAATAAACGACCATCTCTAACGTTTGCATTCAACGGGAGCACTAGAGGTCGAACACTTTAAAACGTAATTATAGGTCGTATTAAGCGCTTGAACAAACGACACATTTGGTCGTAATAAGGGCTTGAACAATCGGCCCATTTGGTCGTATGAGTTGGAGGACTTGTTGCTTTATCTTGTTATGCGCAATGTTGATTATTCTCTCAGAACTATATACATGGGTCTGGGGTAGAGATCTTCAGAATTGGTTTGGCAGCAGCTGTGCTCCAAATAAACCATCAGTGTTTGCCATCAAAGTTCGAGCTCTCTCCGTGTCTCTCTGAGTCTCGTCTCCATTGCTTCAGAAGTTTCCATCACAAATATGGTAGTTGTGTCTATTTTATGAGAGTACATTAACTCTTGTGCTCCATATTTATGATTTAAATAGTTTTATTCATTTTAAGTAGAAATACTATTTATTAATAACCAGACTTAACTGTACCCCTGCAACAACCCTGACTTTTGGGAGGCGTCAAAGATTTAAAGAACACAGAATTATGGGAATTATTATAGGATTGTGATTTTTAATGCAATTCTTTGTTAGTTGTCTTAACATTTCGTAACTGTCTCAATTAGCTGTGTATTACAACCACTCTTTCACCTTCACTGTGGAGATAAACAAGCCAAACTATTTTAACAGCTTCAAGTTGTTTTTGAACCACCGTCATGCCCCAGAGGCGCCTCACAGTTACACATAGGTCCAACAGAATCTGGTAGAACTGAGACCTGGAAGTAATGTCAGGACTTGAGCTGTACTCTGAGAAACACTTCAGTCTGTTACTGTCGATAATAAAAATAGATCTTGCATAGCAGCATTGTGACTTCTGTAGACTTGAAGGAGTGTTCTAATTCATCTCCCAGCTGAGTCAGCAACCTTCCAGTCACCTTAGTGCTGTAACTTTAATGAAGTTCTGAATAAAACCAAGAATTCATTCTCTTTATTTTACATAAATTACACCACTTCCAAGCTCCATGCATCCTCTTTATATACATGTATAAACATTTATTGCACATGAAACTTCAACCGTTCAAACTTAGTCCTGTAGAGAGTTTTCAGGCTGGCCAGCAGAAAAAGATATCATTGAAAGAAACACAAAACGTGTCCCACTACTTTTTTTAAACAATTGATTTCCTTACATTGATAGTCATTAACTTTGCAACAAAATCCAACAGCTGTAATTTAATGCACTGTACATATCACACACACACACACACACACACACACACACACACACACACACACACACACACACACACACACACACACACTCAAATATTTGACGTAGTATATGTGGTTTGACATGGCTTATCATTTAACATACAGTACATTAAAATTACACATGTAAGTTTACAATGGCATTCCTGCCCATCAATGCTGCTGCTAATGATGTGTCTCATCTGGTAATGACATTAAGAAGGATTTACCCAGATGCTGTCCCTTCTAGACCTACACTGTTTTTATTCTGAAGTTGTCAGTATTATTTGCAGTATAATCAGAATATGTGCTGCTAATCAATGGCAATTACTCTTGCCCTCCCATATTTGAGTGTCTGCTGAGATTTGAATATTACTATGATGTCCAGCTTGGCCGGTTCCGTGTATTCACTGGCACTCTTGGCTCACTTTAAAATAGATTTAAAATCTAGTTTTAAATGTTTCATCAAAAAGCATAGTAATGGACAATCATGCTGATATCTAATGGGGACCTATACTTTGAAGAGTACCTTAATATTAGGGCTTTGGACTAAGAGGATTTGACAACTGAACATGGGTCAGACTTAGTCATGGTCATTATAATAAATGTAAGCTATTGTAGGCCACCTACATTTGGTTGCAATTGTTTAATGCATTAAAGGGGGTATGATGACCATTTGTAATGGAAATAGGTCTACAGTACAGCCAGGTTTAGAATAGAAGAGTGCTTATATAAATGGAGATTCAAGGTTGGATGCAAATACTATGAAAGTATGAAGAAGCTTAGAAATCTTGGCAAAGTTGTGGAAAAAAGTGTAGCAATGTTACACAACAAATGAAGGAAAAGGATTTTGCTCTTGCTCCTCGCATTAGAGGAGTAATGAGCCAGAACATAAAGTGCTTTATAAACGGCCACACTTTTCCCGTGGGATGACTCCAAAAGTTGAGATTGTTTGGTTAACTGCTGTTTCCAAGGTCAACAAGAAACCAAAAATCCAACTTCCTGTTGCATGCTGATGTATATTTACAAAGATTGTGAATGTATGTGGTGTTGAAAGTAAATCCAATGTGTGTTAAATTAACTAAACATAAAAGTGGTGAGATGACATCTGAGTGCATATTTGTGCTTGGGTAGATCCATCAGTGTTTCTGCAGAACACTTTTCCTGTAGCAGTTTAGTTTTGACTGTCAACCTCCCATATCGATTGACTGATATTGTTCACAGAAGCTTTCACCTGGTGGATCTGAATACTTAACAGTTGGAAGTTAGAATCCCTAATATTTAAATACATAAGTGCCATGCTGTTGGTGCTATTAATGCCATGGGTTGTGTTGAACTGTGTTTGCATTTACCATTCTGCTAGTGAGACATTTTTATGAATGTAGGCGTATAGTCCTAACAGTTATGTATGAGATGTATATTGTTTGTGAGCTGTGGTGATCTCAACAACACATGGGGCCTGGTGGCCCTGCAGCAGCATCCATCCATAATTCAGACAGAGGGACAGGAGAGCAACGTAAGGCATCAAGCTGATGTGAAACTGGTTCAACTGGAAGAAATTAATCAATGAAATAAGATGTCCAGAGTAGGCTCAGCGGCATACATCCCTTCACTGTTTCTCTTCTGTCCTCTTCGTACTTTATTGTCTGGTACTCCACAGGAAAACAAGTATCCAAAGTTCAGTCAAATCTTCATGCCCAGCTTGGCTTTCTGTGAAAAAAGTCATAGGATAATAGAGGTTAAGTACAATACACCTGTCTATAATTGTATTATAAGCAGTGCAAATCTATGCAAACAAGTAAATAACTTAAAATGGGATCAATCTTAATTTTGAAGTAAGCGAATAAACATTCAGCTTAACCATGTTTGCTTTGTGCTTTGGAGATAGAAGCGATCAGAACTCATTTCATTTTCCAAACACTCATATTCAGGTAGTACAATTTTACATCATGTCTCATGATAGTGACCAGCATTGATCCTTCTCTAAAATGTAGTGTTCAAGAGACTCTGCACTCATTTGCTCCCTATTGGTTCATGCAATTGATGAATTTGATCAAAAATGTATATCGTAAATGTAAAAGTACATTATGTGGTACTGCTAATTTCTCCTACTCTGTATATTTTTTCTGTTGTTAAGTCTTAAATACATATATTCATAAACACTTTGGGAGTGTTATAAACCATTTATTAATTAAAGGTAGGGTAGGTAATTTTGGAGAAACCAGCTCGAGTGCGCTAGAATTTGAAAATACACAGAAAAAATCTGCCCCTTCCTTCAGACTTCCTTACAGAGCCCCTCCTCCAACACACACGGACGCACACATGAGGGGACCAATGAGGGCACGAGATAAGTTTGTGCACAGAGGGAAGGCTGACAGGCAGGTAGGCCATCCAGTTATCTGCCGCGGGCCGAGGCAGATAACGGGACTTGCTTTTTACAGCGCCACGGCTTCCACAGATGAAATATTTGTATATATTTATTGTCAAAGCATTTAATGTATTCATTGCTATCGGGATGTTAAGAGCATTCCATGGAATATAACAAAAAGTGTTTCTGAAGTGAATTACCTACCCTACCTTTAAGTGTTTATATAATGTTGGAGGACTTAATAATAAAGCTATATTGTTGTCTGTACTTATGAGACAGTGGAAAAATATATATATTTTCCTTTAGTCGACTCTTAAGTTAAACAGGGTTACCACTTGAAGGAGGCTGAGAGGTGAACTTACGATGCCAGAGGCGTGTTTGGGTTTGACGCTGTAGGACGCCTTCTCCTTGGCCTGCCGGAAACACTCCTCAGCTGCTTTTAATCTGCAATACACACAATATGAATGCAGTTTTTGAAAACACAAAGCTTAATTTGCCTAAGATCTATAATATCTTCACATTTTATTTTGGTGTTGAAAGGAATAAAAGAAGAAAAGGGCCAGTTTTAAAGCTGCGTGACTGACCGCTCTTTGAGGATGACTTTGTTCTCCTTCTTCCACTGATCCTTGAAGTCGGAGGAGAACTCGTGCCAGACGCAGAACAGGGTGTTGGGGGAGACCTCCTTCTCTCCTGACTTGGCCTTCACTGAGAAGAACACGGTGAGCTCCAGGAACCTGCAGGACACCATCACAATTTACTTTCTAACTTTAACCATTAGTTTCCCTTTTGATGTTTGGCTTTAATCTAATATTTAGGAGAATTTACCACATCACCCCAGTTCTCAAAAATCTGCACTGGCTTCCTATTACACAAAGGATACACTTCAAAATCTTACTTTCAACATACAAAGCACTTAATGGATTGGGACCAAAATACATGTCAGAGATGCTTCTACGAGCCAAACAGAGCTCTCATATCATCAGGAGGGTTTACTCGTTGTCCCCAGAGTCAGAACTACATTTGCTGAGGCAGCTTTTAGCTTTTATGCACCACAAGCCTGGAACAAACTGCCTGAAATTCTGAGGTCCGCCCCAGCCCTGGGTTCTTTTAAATCAAGGTTAAAAACCTTGATTTTTAAAACCTTTATTAGAACATGGAAACCCTTTCTGGACTTCTATGACTCCTTACAAGATCCGCTTGATAAAGAATAAGATTGGACCGGGTACGGTATTACAGCAGTGAGCATTTAATATATATTTCTATATTATTGATTTATTATTATTATTATTTTCCTATTTTTTTTATATTCCCCCCTTTTTTTATATGTATGTTTTTCCCCTTTATGTTTTCTCAGCCCCCTTGCACTCATTACATTAATAAACAATACTGTTAAAGTACTCCTGTAACTCAATGGGTTAATGGGTGGTGGGTGGGTTGGTGGTGGAATTGAAATGGAGATTTTGATTTGTCAGCATGTGTGTATATATCTTTACTTGAATTGGAACCAAATGTACATGCTCTGTATCACTTGCTTTTGTAAAAAAAAATATATTTACAAAAAAAAGAAAATAAATAAAAACCTTTCTTTCAATGCAGCCTATCCTGGGATCCTTTAACCGTGCCTTATCATTGCACTTTTAGCTGCAACCATTCATTTATCGCTTTTATTAATAGTGTTTTTTGTTTTTGTTTGTGTGTTTGTTTTTGTTTTAAAAATTATTATGTGAAGCACTTTGAATTGCCTCTGTGTATTAAAATGTGCTATACAAATAAACTAACCTTGAACCTTAATATTTACAAGAAAATAAATAGAAACAGGAAGATTAGCATTTGGAAGCTGTTACATACATGTCAGTCTCACAATACCCAGACATACCCATCAATAATACTATTACCCAGATATTGCTTTGGTGTCATGGAATTACTTAATTATTACCTCTTTATTTTCAAATGATTACCCCAATATAAGTTGAGCTGTTAGGAAAAGTGAAACTTGCATTCATAGTAATGAATACAGCTTATGTCCAGGGCAATGCACTCTATAATGTACATTTAGTGCTGTAACTATCTTTCTGGACGTATTAATAATTGTAGCCCACTATCCTTCAAGCAGGTGAAACTGTTGCCTAGTAACAGCAGAAAGCAGAAGCCTTGCAGTGAGGATGGCACTGATAAGAAGGCCTCAGAGCCGTGCTGTTAACAGGGAACGATGCTCACTCTTCGGTTAGTTAAACGTGTCTTCTGTGGACAGTTTACATCTAATTCTAGGCCTCTTTTTAAAATGTATTTTTTACATATATTTACAACAACTTTTATAATATTTGCAGCAGATGCCTTGTGCTATGTGTAGAGCCTCTTCTGTAGCAAGAACAAATCATTGCCACCGTCCAACATGTGTGATCGTACAGCAAGTGCACTGACTGGCATGAGCTACAATAGTAAAGTGTAAATACAAACTACATTCCCAGCCATGTCCTGTTCTAATCAAGCCTTCCCTTTTGACTTTTGTTATTAGACATCTGTAATGAATGATCAAGAATTATACTTTCTGCTGCTAAACATAATGAGGATGAAGTGTATTGTTTACAGCTCTCCTCAGTATCACTGGTACAAACAGAGTGCGGAGAACAGTTGAAATAAAACACAGAAGTTAGTTTAGTGTGAAAGGTGCTTTCTTACAGTTTGTGAGTGCTGCTGAGTTGAGCCTCTAGGGTCTCCAGTTCACTCTTAGCTGAGAAAGGAGGGAACATTCAGGAGGTCAGAACAAAATCAGTTTTTAATAACTTATGGTTTTTGTCTTAAAGGTGGGGTAGGTAATTTTGGAGAAACCAGCTCGAGTGTGCTAGGATTTGAAAATACACAGCCGGAACAAATCTGCCACTTCCTTATAGAGCCCCTCCTCCAACACACACGAACGTGCACATGACCAATGAGGGCACGAGATAAGTTTGTGCACAGATGGAAGGCTGACAGGCAGGTAGGCCATCCAGTTATTTTAGCCGGGCCGGCTAAAATGATTGGTCGTGCTTTTTGCAGTACTACGGCTTCCATATTTAAATGATATATTGTAGGGCCATACCTATATAAGGTATATTTATACGTTTCTGTTTTCAAAATACCAAACAGATCATACATTTTAGCCATGCCTCATTTCGCTCTATGTGCTGTTTGCTGTCTACGGGGCTGATTCTGCTGACCACGCCCCCCTGCAGGAGAGGGGAGACGTGCTCTGATCAGCTGCTGGCTGTCAGAAGAGGGGGAGAAAAAGAGATCTCCGTCCTCCGTGTTTTATTATATAGAGTCGTTATTCATTTGTTTTAAAGCTCAATAAAAAACAAAGAAGACCTTTGACCGGCACTTTTCAAATTTTGTCCGGAAGATTTCAACTTTAACGGACATCTTGACCGGCGAAAGAAACTGAAACTGAAACTCTGCCGCACGGTCCCCTCGTTCCTTGGAAGAGGCGGAGAGGTGGGTGTTTGTCATCTGCTGGTGGACTAACCGGAGAGAATTACAGTGCTTGCCTCGACGGGGAGGGATTGCATTGAATTAAAGCAGCAGGAGCAAACGCTTGCCTCGGGGAGGGAGAAAAAGAGCCACAGCGGAGAATAAACAGAAGGGTAACCATGGTAACTATGGGCGGGAAGTCTTCTTCGCTGCTTTTGTGGCAGACTACAGCGCCACTTAAAGGCCTGGTGTTATGTGCTCTTGTTGTTGTTTTTCTCTGTCTCTCTGCTGCGCAGGTACACCTGGTCCGCCCCTGGCTCCGCCTCCCCCAGGTGTCCTAATGCCATTCAGCTGGGGACTTAAAAAGGAGAAGCTGGAGGAGAAGGGGGCGCCTTTCCCCCGATGCCGGTAGTCTCTGACCGTGAACAATCTATCTCATGCCGTTTGGATCTGGAGATTCCTGTTGTAGCTACCATAATGTGTGAACTCTGGAGGACCTGTAGTATAGGTTTTTTCGTGGCTTTATTTTTCCCGTAGGGTTTTTTCTGTTAGATCTCTGGGTAGAGGAGGGAAGTTCTGGGTCCTACGGCCAGTGGACTGGCTGGCCCAGGCCCCCTTCTTCCTTTTGTTTGTTTTTGCCGTCCTCCAGACGTGGTTCATTTGCCGGTGGGCCCATGTAAGTAACGGCTGTGCTCTTAAATAAATGCTCGCCGAAAAGTGCTGCGTGTTCTGTGTGATTTATTTTATGTTGCGGGTCTTCCCACGAGCCACTACCACTTGGTAGAGGACGGGTCGTAACACCTGGCATATGTACTACAGCGTCTCCAGCGCTTTCGAGCGGCAATGGCCGGCCGTGGCCCAACCCCACATTCCCCTGATAGGTGGAGAGTTGGCCCAATAGCCGTAGCGCCACCGTCCTGACGTCAGGACAGTGTTCAAATCTGGATCAGTTTTTATCAGATCCGTTGCAGCCCCTTTTTTAGAGATTTGGGTATGGAGGAAAATAGAGAGGGTTGTGTTTTCTGACACTTGGTGAGTTCCCTGGAACACCGGGGACACATATTCATGTATAAAAGACGTACAAAAGTGCATTTTGCATGATAGGTCCCCTTTAAGATATTCATTGCTATCGGGATGTTAAGAGCATTCCATGGAATATAACAAAAAGTGTATCTCGAGCCGGTTTCTCAAACTTACCTACCCCACCTTTAATGTTTTATCATACAAGAACATTGTTGCTCAATAAAAAACAATAAATGAAGTTCAATGCAAGCATGTTCAATGTTCCTAAAAATAAACGGGTTGTTAGTCACCTTGTGCAAGGAACTCCTCCATCTTGTCTTTAAAAGGCTGCAAGTTGTCCTCGTCTGAAACCTTGCACACCTTCTCCACTTCTGATGTGCACGCTGATTAAAAAATGCAGAAACAAATATCACATCAAGTCAAGTTGTGTGTGTGTGCGTGAGTGTGTGTATGTGTGTCTGTTTGTGAGTGTGTGTGTGTGTGTGTGTGTGTGTGTGTGTGTGTGTGTGTGTGTGTGTGTGTGTGTGTGTGTGTGTGTGTGTGTGTGTGTGTGTGTGTGTGTGTGTGTGTGTGTGTGTGTGTGTGTTTGTGTGTGTGTTTGTTACCTCTCAGGTCCTTCCTGAGTCGAGTCAGGTCTTTCTGAAAGTCTTCAAACTTCATCTGTGAAGACTGGAACAGGTCGTGAGGCTCTGGGAGGGGGTACACACACGTCTCTCTGCCAGCGTCCTGAGAGGGACAGACAGCAGGTAGTAATTATTGTCTGATACTGTTTGAAGTGCATGTGGTGATGTGGAAATGTGGTGTGTGTTGCATACAGAAGGTCAGACAAAAGATTAGGGACAAAATAGGCAGTGGACAAAGCTAGAAAACGGAAAGTAACAGTATGGCAGGGAGTATAATCGCTAAAAGCTTACCTCATCGAAGTGTCTGAGGTAGTATGCAACAATGTAAGACAGAAGACTTTTCGTACCGTCCTGCAGAGAAAAGAAACGAGTGGATCATTAGCAGGAGTGGAGACGTCAGGTGACTTCCTGTAGCTCTACAGGTGAGGGAGGTCAGAGGGTTAGTGGTAACTGAAGCACATTTATAGTGGTGTAATGTAATACATTTACTCAAGTACTGTATCTTAAGTTTGATTTTGGGGTATTTGTACTTGGCTCGAGTATTTCTATTTTATGCTACTTATACTTCTACTTCACTACAATTTGGAAGCCAATATTGTACTTTTCACTCCACTACATTTATTTAACATAACGTGCAGAGAGAAAATGGAAAAAGGATAAACTCCATGTCTCCCTAGAAATCCTTCGTGCTTGCCTTTCTGACTACCAGACGGCAGTCAAAGCAGCCAAAACAGAGCACATTTCTCTGTTAATCTCCAAAAACAGCCATAAACCTCAAGTTCTTTTTAATGTCCTCAACTCTATTATTAATCCCTGTGATGTTTCTTCAATTGTGCCATTGACTACTCTCTGTGATAAGTTTCTGCTCTTAGGCTAGCCCACACTGGTGCTACCCCAGATCCTGCTCCTTTTTTTACCCCTGCTGTCCTCGACCACTTTGAGCCTGTATCCCTCTCTTCTCTCTCGGATGTAGTCAAGCACCTGCGGCCGACAAACTGCACCTCAGACAGCATTCCCTCTCGCCTTCTCAGAGATGTTTTTGATTGAGTTGGAGCAAGTATTTTATTACTTACCTCTCTTAGCTCAGGATGTGTCCCAGCTGCCTTCAAACATGCTGTGGTCCAGCCACTACTTAAAAAGAAAAATCTCGACCCCTCCATTCTCGCAAATTTTAGGCCCATCTCCCAGCTACCTTTTTTATCTAAAGCCCTGGAGCGAGTAGTCTACGCCCAGCTGCAGTCTTTTTTAACCACGCATGGCATCCATGAAAAGTTTCAGTCTGGCTTCAAACCCATGCAGAGCACTGAAACAGCCCTTTTAAGAGTTTTTAATGATCTGCTCCTAGCCGCCGACTCAGGTAGCCCAGCTGTCTTGGTGCTGTTAGACCTGACAGCTGCCTTTGACACTGTGGACCATAGCATCCTGTTGTTGCGGCTCGAACAGTCCGCAGGCATCACAGGCTCTGCCCTTGAATGGTTCAGGTCCTACCTGACAGACTGTAGCTTCTCCGTGCAGCTAGGTGCCTTCTCCTCTGCCAAAGCCCCTCTTACCTGTGGGGTTCCCCAAGGCTCTATTCTGGGCCCCATCCTTTTTCTACTGTACATACTGCCCCTAGGTTCAATTCTCACTAAACACAACATCCCCTTCCATTGTTACGCCGATGATGTACAGATCTATTTGCCTCTCAAAGCAAATGTCAAACACTCACTACAGCAGCTGATGGACTGCTGAACAGAGATAAAATCCTGGCTGAGCCAAAACTTCCTTAACCTCAACGAGAGCAAGACTGAGGTCATCTTTTTTGGACCTCAACCTTCAGCCTCTCCGGTTGAAATTCTGGGCTCTCTCAATAAAAACATCCTCCCCTCTGTCATGAACCTTGGAGTGACCTTCACTAGCCCTTTTAAATTTGATAAGCAGGTCAGCACCGTAGTCAATACCTGCTTTTTTAAAATACGACTATTGGCCAAGACCAAGTCTTATTTATCTTTTAAAGACCTAGAAAGGGTTATTAACGCCTTTGTTACCTCAAGACTGGATTACTGCAACGCTCTGTATGTGGGTATGGACCAGGCCTCAATTAGACGCCTGCAGCTAGTGCAGAACGCAGCTGCACGTCTTCTCACTGGCCACAAAAAGCGTGACCACATCAAAAATCGCTTTTAAATGTGTTATATAAATAAAACTTGATTTGATTTGATACAAAATATAAATAAACTGTGAAACATAATTAGAGGTTAAAGTATCCAGCAGCAGTATATACAGTAATTAAATGACCTCCACCTTTACCAGCTGTGATGAACACATTAATGCAGCAATAACAAAATGTGGGTATTTAATATATGATTAAAAAAAGGGACATTAGCAGAATAAGTACTTATACTTACTTAGTTAGTCCTTAAAGTATATTTTGATGCCAATACTTTTGTACTTTTACTTGAGTAACATTTTGATAGCAGGACTTTTACTTGTAACAGAGTAATACTACACTCTGGTACTTCTACTTTTACTCAGGTACAAGATCTGAGTACTCTGAGTACACCTCTGCACATTGAAAAGGGGGGTCGACTTCCGGTCTAGCAGGCATGGGGATCGCAGCATAGCGTGACAGGCTCCCGATAGTGAGAACTCAAAGTTGCCCGTTTTAACTCGAATAACCAGGAAAAGATTTACAGCAAGCATATACACGGCGGGCGAAGTAATATGCCTAAAAGGGGTAAGAAAAGTATTGCACCAACAAAGGAAAACGTCGAAAACGAAGAAGGTCAACTGTCACGAGGTAGCAGCATTAGCAACATGGACGACACGCAGCCGGACTCTGACTCAGAGCCGAACGGTGAATCTAACTTGGCTTTAATCTTGAAGGAGCTACGAGAACTTAGAAAAGACTTTGGTCAGCAACTGAGCGGCATAAAAGAGGACATTAGTAAAATCGGCAAAAGAGTGGAAGAAGCAGAGGAGCGAATTAACGGTGCTGAGACCAGAATCCAGTCATCGGAGGATGTTCTGACGCAGCTAGTAAAGCTTCAGATGCAAACGGAGGTAAAGCTGACTGATTTGGAGGGGCGGTCGCGACGCTAAAATGTCAGAATACACGGGGTAAAAGAAGGAGCCGAAGAAGGCACGGCATCAGTAATCGCTTTCGTGGAAGATTTGCTGACAAAAAGCTTGGAGCTTCCCTCCTCCACCGCGCTAAATATTGAGAGGGCGCACCGGGCGCTGGCACCGAAACCCCCGAATGAAGCCCCTCCGAGATCAATCGTGGTTAAGTTTTCAAGCTACACGGTGAAGGAAGATGTCCTGAAAAGAGCTTGGCAGAAAAAAGGATTTGACTTCCAAGGGAAAAGGATCCAACTGGACCATGACTATGCACCGGAGGTATTGAGAAAGCGGAGGGAATATGCAGAAGCAAAAGCTGGGCTTTTCCAGACGCCATTCCCCGCCCGATTAAGAGTGTTTTACGAGGAAGGTACGGTTGTCTACGGCTCGGTGGAGGAGGCAACGATGGACATGGCAAAGAGGGGAATTCCGGTGACTGTGGTGAAAAAGACAACCTCCCTTTTGGACCAGATCAGCCGGATGACTTGGCGATCCAGTGAAAAGGGAGGAAACCGGGACACTACACGCACCAAACAAGGCTTTAAGGAACGGCTCCATGCATACCGTCGTCAGGACACCTGATAAGTACTGCTGCTCTAATAGAAACATTGAGTTAAAATTATAATGTTACTTCTAGAAACCACAGAGAGTCTATGCTGAGTAATGTTGTGAGACAGACTCAATTTTCAAACCTATTTTCCAAAATTAAACCTTCTCAGAAAGGTAATGTTAATGGCAATTAAATGATAGATTTGAGGTCGGGATGCCTGCGGGACACTATGGACCTACGTATCAGCTTAAAGGCTGAAGGGGGCCCTCTTTCACTGCTAGGAGGAAGAGATTTTCCCCCTACACTCACATTCCATCAGAGTCACAAGGCCGTTAAAGAGGCCGTCATTTTGGAAGTCAATGTTGTTATCTTTGATTGTGATTTTCTTTTTTTTGTTAACTTGTTATTGGTTAACGATTTTGTTCATGTTACTGTTCCTTGTAGCACCAGGGGTGCGATATATGTGATATATAGAAGCGTGAAGGGGCTTGAGATATACCTAAAGACAAACCATGCAAAATACCAAGTCAGTTAAAGTAGCTACGTATAATGTAAATGGCCTGGGAAACCCAATCAAGAGGAGCAAAGGAGGGAATAGAGGTGGCTCTCCTCCAAGAGACTCACCTAACACAAATAGAGCATGAACAACTTAAGAAATGGAGATACAATCAGTACTCCTCTTCCTGCAGCAAGGGTTCTAGGAGGGGTGTTGCAATTTTGATCACTGGTAAACTAAACTTTGAGTGTACATAGGAAAAGAAAGATAAAGAGGGGAGATATGTTCTGGTTAGGGGGAATCTGGACGGAGTTCTAGTTACTTTTTTGAATGTGTATCTGGCTCTCAATGGAAATTCTATAAAGAAATGTTTGAGTCATTAATCGCTGAGGCCCGGGGCATCCTAATGTGTGGGGGTGACCTTAATGTTAGACTTCACCCAACCCTGGACACATCAAAATCGTACCACTCAGGAGAGAAAAAAACCACAAAAAATATCAAACGAATGATGGAAGAGCTGGGACTCTCAGACATATGGAGGGAGTTGAACCCGACAAAGAGAGACTATACCTTCTTTTCTCACCCACACTCTGTGTATTCTAGGCTTGACTATTTCTTTATGTTTCAAAGAGACCTACATAGAGTGAAAAATTGCAGTATTGGGACCATGGATCTATCTGACCACACTCCAGTATATATACATGTATTATTAGGTTCTGACAAGAAAAACACAATCTGGAGGCTAAACACAGGGATGTTAAATCAAATGAGGCAGCAAATAAGGACAGACATTAAAAATGATCTAGATGAAAATGATAACGGCGAAGTGTCACCACAGATTCTATGGGACGCAAGCAAAGCTGTTCTTAGGGGGGGAATTATAGGCTATTGTTCTCGTTTAAAAAAGCAGAGAAAAGAAAGATTGGATAGGTTACAAACAGAATTGGAGAAATTAGAGAATGAACATAAAAAGACACAGAATCAAGGAACAAAAATGGAGATAGCAAGGAAAAATAATGAGTTGAATGAAATCTATTCTAACGACATAAAAAAAAGATGATTTTTCTAAAACAAAGATATTATGAAGCTGGGGGAAGATCTGCTAAATGACTTGCTTACAAATTGAAGAAACAACAAGCAGAAAACAAAATTTATAAAATAAAGGACCCTACTACCAACTCTACCCATTGCAAAATAAAGGATATACAACAATCATTTGAGACCTTTTATAAAAAATGATATACTCAACCTGAAATAGATAAAACAAAGATGGAAGCCTTTTTTGAAAGGATAAACCTGCCTAAAGTCGGGGAAGAACAGAATAAGCTCCTAACTAGCGAAATTACGGATGAAGAGATCAAGAGGGCAATATCACACTTAAAACCTAATAAGGCAGCAGGACCTGATGGCTTTCCCTCTGAGTGGTACAAGGAGATGAAAGACCTACTGGTCCCTATGATGAAGGCCTCATTTAACCATGTGCTTAAAATGAGTGTAACCCCCCCTTCTTGGAAAGAAGCGGTGATTTCCTTGATTCCAAAAGAGGGTAAAGATAAACTTGAATGTGGGAATTATCGTCCGATAAGTGTATTGAATCAAGACTACAAGATTTTTACCCATGTTTTAGCAAAGAGACTTGAAAAGATCCTGCCCCGGATAATAAGTCTAGACCAGACAGGTTTTATTCAGCAAAGGCAGACATAATAACATCCGGCGAACCTTACATGTGATTGAACATATAACTAAAAATAAAATTGAGGCAGTATTATTGAGTCTTGATGCGGAAAAGACTTTCGATCGAGTCAATTGGGAATTCTTGTATAGAACATTACAGAAATTTGGATTTCACCCATCGTTTATTAGAACCATTCAAGCACTTTATAATGACCCAAGGGCAAAAATAAAAATAAATGGGGACATATCAGCATCATTCGGCCTGGAAAGAGGGACCAGACAAGGCTGTCCATAAGTCCATTATTATTTGCAATATTTAGTGAGGCTTTAAGCCAGGCTGTTAGTCAGGAAAATAATGTTGCTGGCATAAAAATACAAGGCCAAGAACATAAAATGTCATTATTTGCGGATGACGTTTTAATTCACTTGTCAAACCCAGAGAGTTCAATTTTGAAATTATTGGCATTCCTAGATGACTTTAGCTCCGTCTCAGGTTATAAATTGAATATTCAAAAGACCCAAATATTAAGTTTCAATTATAGGCCTAGCCAGATTCTAAAGTCGAATATCCAATTAAACTGGGAGCTGGATCACATCAAATACCTAGGAGTTAACATCCCAAAAGACCTTACAAAATTGTATGACTTACATTTTAATCTGTTGATTCAAAAAATTAAGGAAGACATAAAGAGATGGAATTTAATTCCAATATTAAGTTTTGAATCACGAATTGAATCAGTTACAAATAAATGTATTGCCTAGGATATTATATTTGTTTCAAACTCTTCCAATAGAAATAACAGATAAACAATTCAACGAATGGGACAAATTAATTTCGCGTTACATTTGGCAGGGAAAAAAACCGAGAATAAGATTTCAAACTCTTCAATTGGCTAAGAACAAGGGAGGTGTTGCACTGCCCTGTTTAAGGGACTATTATATATCGGCCCAACTGAGGATTTTGTTTTCTTGGTGTAAATCAGATTACCAAGCAAGATGGAAAGAAATTGAAGAGAGGGTGTCCGGGGCAGTTCCAATACAGGCACGATTAGGGGATAAAAGACTAATTAAAAACCTAATGGGAATGGGTAATAAGTGGATCAATCTGACTCTGAAAACATGGGGTTATAACAAAGAGTGGCTTGCTTGAAGAGATAAAGATCCTGAAATGGTGCTCCCATGATCTCGACTTTACCCCGAGTAAACTAGACGCAAGTTATAAGGGATGGGCTGATCGGGGCCTCTCTTCCTACTGTACTTTTTTTTAATCGGGGGACACTGAACAATTTTCAAACGTTGAAAATGCAACATGGGCTAAATAACAGTGACTTTTTCAGATTCCTTCAGGTACGCCACCACATAAACAGTTCTATGTTAGAGAATCAGAAGGCGTTCGAAAACAACCTACTGAAAGTTTTTATTGGTGCATATGGTACAGATTCAGGGCTCAAAGTGATATCAAGAATATATAAGGGACTCCAGGAGATTAAAAAAGCAAGTACCATATACATAAAACAAAAATGGGAAAGGGAAACTAACAGAGGAGGAAATCTGGACCAACTATTGTGAATTCCAATGGAGAATAACAAGCTCCTCCTCATGGAGAGCGTTCGCCTGGAAGAGTCTCACTAGATTTGTTATCACGCCCGCTCAGCAGTCTCACCATGCTGGTTCTTCCAGCTGCTGGAGGAATTGTGGCTCCCAGGAAGCAAACCATTACCACGTGCTCTGGGATTGCCCAGTAGTAAATACCTTTTGGCTTAAGGTTTATAAAGAAATTGTCATCGTATTTGGAACAAACATTTATTTTAATTGGGATGAACTCCTCTTCGGTTTCCTGCACTCAACGTCCACAAATATTATAACAAAATACTTATTTGGGATGTTGAGTGTAGCTGCCAGGAAAGCAATCACAAAGAAATGGCTCAAACCAAACAGCCCATCTATAGATGATTGGTATGATATCATTTACGAAATCTTTGTAATGGAAAGAATAACTTTCTCTTTGAGGCTCCAGGAACTTAAATTTGAGGACATTTGGGAGAAATGGAAAGTGTATATTGCCCCGATACGCCCTTCTTTCGTCTAACTGCTTGAATATTTCATTTAAGGATCCATACTGTCAATGTTTTATAATAAAAAGAAAACACCCCATGTTCTTGTGTGCTTATTGTTGTTGTTTTGTCAAGAAAAAGAAAAAAAGACGGACCACTCTGTACAACTATTTAACTACATATGTATATGTACACTGAAGTTGAAATGTGATAAAAAAAATAAAAAAAAAAAAATGTAAAAAAAAAAGAAAAAAAAGAAAAGGGGGGTCACACACAGACTTTCCACTGATCATGGCAGCATTGCATTATATTTGTACTTATGTACAAAAAGAATGTGCAAGGCTGTAGGTTGGACTAGCAGCAGAGATGTAATGATGTGTCGGTGTGTTTCACATGGCTCCCTCTCTACTCACGCTGCTCTTCACATCTTTCAGTTTGGGCAGGATGTCCAGGGTGAAGCCGTCGGCTTGACCTCTGGTTCGATTCCCACCATTCATGAAGTTACCGAAAGCCAGAATCAGACTGAGAACCTTCTTCACCGTCTCACTGTCCTGCAGCGCCTGCACAGACGGGGGGGAGAGTCAGAGACAAACATGATGGGAGAAGGAAATGAAGTTTCATCCTGCACATTTCAAAATCATTTCAAAATCCCAAGAAATTATTGTTAATCTCAACATGAAAAGACAAGGTTTATAAAGAGGGCACTGTGAGCAGCATTTAGCTGGAGAGTGAACAAACAGACCTCAGACCAGGTTCTGACACCTGACTGAAAATCACATGAGAAGTTGTATATCCTTTCCCTGTGCAGTATAGACTTAAAATACCTAGCTTGGCTTTGTCCAGAGTCAGAAAATATAACAATTAACACCTCTAAAACTCTCTAATAACCCTGTTGGATTGTATGTTTAATATTTGAGGTGGGAAGTAACTAAATACATTTACTCAAATACTGTACTTAAGTACAATTTTGAGATATTTGAACTGTACTTGAGTATTTCCATTTTACGCTACTTTGTACTTCTACTCCACTACAGTTCAAAGGTAAATGGTGTACTTTTACTCCACTATATTTATTTAATACCTTTAGTTACTTTACAGATCTGGATGAATAATGTGAAATATAATCAAGTGTTAAATCAGACTTTAGTTCCACCTGGAGTAAATTCACAAGCTACCCTGCAGTATACAAAGTCATTCAAACTAGCTGCACCTTTACCAGCTTTGATAACACTTTAATGATCAATCATTATAAAACATATCATATATATTATTCTGAAATGGACCAATCTGCACAATGACTACTTTTACTTTTGCTACTTTCACTATATGTTGATGCTAATACTTTTCTACTTTTACTTGAGTAACATTTTGAACTAGAGAATGCAATTCCTGAAGAAATTGCTAGTGGGAATGCTTTATGCTGAAAAGCTGACGCTGAATTGCTATGCTGAAATGTAATGTGTAAGAAGAAAGTGAAGAATTTAGATTGAAATGATACATGAACACTGGGGGCTTGAATGTGTGATGAGAGAAGACAAGAAAGTAAAAAGGCTTGGAAAAGCAGCAGAATATTTGAACTGCAAACTTTTGAACTAACTTGATGGCGAATGATCTGTCGCCCTGCCAACGGCATTTGATGACATCCCATAATACGCTTAGATGCGTTGATGGCTGCATCGTTACCAAACCTGTGAAGTTTTGGGCCGTTTGGAGCATTTTCACTGAAGTTATGAGAAAACCGTGTTTCATGGCGAGCATTGTGTTGCCATGGCAATGGCATTTGAATAAATCTCAAAACTGTCCCGTAGATGTCTTCACGGCTGGACTGTTAGCACACGTGAAGTTTGAGCACTTTTTGAACATTTTCATAGGAGTTATAGCGACATCGTCTTTTATGGCGAGGGATGCGTTTCCATGGAAACGGCATATGATGACACCCCATAATTGACGTAGAGCTGTTGAGGGCAGGACCATTAACCATTATCTGAAGTCTGGTGCTCTGAGCATGTCAGTTGGAGTTATGACATCATCGTGTTCCATTACACAGGTGTTTATATATATATATATAACGAGGTGTGCAGAGATCAAAGGTTTCCATTGTTCTGAATGAGAGATGAACCTCTTACATGTGAACGTTTTGTTGAAGAACCGTAACAGATATCGGTGAAATTTCAAAATGTGAAGCATGTCAAGGACCTTGAGTATCTGAAGTGTGCTTTTTGTGTACTTTCTGGTCAATAATGTGGCCTTTTTGGCAGTTTAACTAAAGGTGTGCGGCTGCTGCTGTGAGGAAATATCTGCCTGAAATTACAATAGGCTTTAATGGAGACATGTTGAACGTTTTTGTCACTTCATGCCCTCAAGAGGCATTTTGTTTAATTATTTTGCTTAATTATTTGTCATTTTTCAAGCTACGAGATGTTTTCCCACGTTTGTCATGAAAAATGATGTCTCAGGAATGTAGGGTTTGGGAATTATGGCAGTTTAATAAAACAAAATATGAAGGCAAATTTCAAGATTTCCTACCCTCTAGCTGTGACATCACGCACTCTAGTTAATGTTAAAATCTGAAGAAAGCCTCTTTACCAAGGTCTGAACAATGTTTAATATCTCTAAAAGTAAGAATCAGATTTAAAAGTTGTGTTACACAAATAATGTCAGAAAGATGTGTAACATTTTAAAGTTGGAATGAGGTTTCTGAGTGAAAGTATGAAGGAACAGTTAGTAGAGATGGGCGAGTCCTGATTCATCCGGATCATTAACCCGGATCCTAGAAATGAGCTGGTCGTGACGAGTCTCCCCTCTCCATTAACCCGAGTCCTTTGAGTCCCACACTTGGTGTGACGTACAAATTAAAACTATAAATTGCGTCACTCGCTACTCTCTTTATAACATGTAAAATCACATTACAACGTACCCCAGTCCATCTGCCTACCCTTTAGCAAGTAGGATAGCTGCCAGAAGTGATCGTTTGGCTCAGGGGAGGAGACGCGGATCAGTGAAACTTCCTGCAAACTCGTGGGGACTCAGAGGAGCCGACGGCTCCTAACCGTAATAGCATAGCATTACTTCAATGGTTAAAAATGTGATGAATTATGGGATATATCTCGGGAATTATGAAAGTTATGAATGAGAAAAGTGATAGCAATCGATTCCCGACCGAGCTGAACGTTTTGATGCTTGAACGGAGTTTCTGCGATGTGGAATGTGGGAGAAGAAGACCGGCAAAATAACGGGCGGAATAAAGATTTTGAAGAACAGATAGTTGGAATGCTGAATAACAGCATTCCAACTATCTGTTATTTAGTGGGAATGCTGTATCAGCATTCCCACTAAATGAAGGACTTTTACTGTAACTGAGTATTTCTACACTCTGGTATTTCTACTTTTACTTAAGTACAAGATCTGAGTACTTCTCTCACCTCTGGCTAATGGATTCTTCTTTGTGATTGTTTATAAATAGTTACAGCAGGTCAATTTTCTTTAAACCAAATGTCTTTGTCTGAACACTGAAAACAAGAATACATTTAATTTGATTTAATTAAAACAACATGTTAATCAGGGAGTTGTTAATAGGTTTATTTCAAAATGTCAGACTGATCCAGGCAAACGTTTAGGAACATAAAATCACAGTTAAAATAAGTCTGTTTCTTACATGAACTCAGTCACATACATATGATAACGACCTACCAAGCTAGTTAGGAGTTAGCGTTGAGCCACAAATTGTTTCTCCCAATGACAACTGATAATGGCCGTTTATTGGCTGAAAACATTCTAAGTGTGTAGTTCCAGTTGCTCCCAGGCTTTATGCAGACATTGAGATGTGAAGACCTATATTTCATTACTTTGGAGAGATTCACTCACCAGGCATACTCTCTGCAGAGTGTCCAGTTTCCTCGTTATGGACGACATGCACTCGTGGAAGCTAGACTGGAAGATGATGCAGAAGACTCTGGAGGAGAAGTTTGGGATCAGAGAGAGCTGGTGGAGGAACCTGCAACACACGAGGAAACACCGATCACACTCATGTCTTCTTCACCATCTCTCTACTCTTTATTCCCTCCTGTTGTTTGACACTGTTTACAGAATGATACACAGCCTGGCACTACGTCTGATCATTGTGTAGTAGTAGAAAAACTCACTGCTCAGGTTTGTCCAGGGGTTTGGCGTTCTCCTTGTCTTTTGACGACTTGATGTGCTTTTCTATCTTGTCCAGCTCATCCTGTTGGGCCCTCTGAGGGAGAGACACAAGAGACCACCATGTCATACCACCCAACAGAACAGATGAGCTTCAGAGTCTGACAATTCAAAGTCCCTTCCATTACATAAAATACAGACAGCATGTTCAATCATATTTAATCAAAGATATATCCCTGTGTTCAAATTTGACTAATTTATGCCCTACAGGTTTTATTACATAAGTGCTAAAGAACTGTATTAGCATAAACAACCTCTGAACAATGTATAACCAGGACTCAAATGCTCAGATGAGATAAAGTGTGTGACTCACATTTTCATACAAGGCCTGCAGGGTCTCCAGGTCAACTACGGTGTTGTCCAAGTTCAGGATGGCTTTAGGACAGGAAGAAAGACACACAAAAATAATATAATACTTTATACCAGCAAAGGCTCAAAATTATAAACTGGCTCCAAGCACAAAGCAACACAAATAAACATGTGTTTAACTTTTGGAGTATACTTCATACCCAAACCTAAATGAATATTTTCCCCAAAAATATTTATACAGATATGGTAGGAATATTTTAGCGAGGTTTTCCTTGAGAACATAAATTCTCTCAATTAGGTAAACTAGTCTCTGACAGCGGAATTTGTGACTAAATGACTAGGCGATCCTTTCCTCAGTGTGGCATACACCTGTTTTATAATATTCCATGTGGAATTAGAATTATTGATATCAAGCGTTCTCAAGTGTTATGAACTCACCATGCTGGATATCTTTCATATCAAGATGCAGGGAGGACATGAGGATCCCTACTGCCTGGGAACGCTTATTGTTCAGGAGCTTCATAACCTGAAAAATATGAATAATATTCACAATTAATGACAACAAAAGACTGAAAGGTAGGCTTAGTGGGAGGGACCATACATTTGCACTGCAAAGTATGTATGTATGTATGTATGTATGTATGTATGTATGTATGTATGTATGTATGTATGTATGTATGTATGTTGTTATATATGTATGTGCTTTCCTAAATTATAAACATCTTTCAGATATCATCAAACTTTTTTTTACAGAATAAAAGTAAGATTCAATGTGACATTAATACAATAGATAATAAGCCATATATCACTTTTTCATTTGAAGAAATACAATACAAATCTGAGCTACATGCCCAGTGTGTAACCCAGGTGAGCACACACACCTGTTTGGCCTTGGACTTGGTGATGGTGTCAGAGAGCGGCTGCTTCTTCTCCTTCACGGCTGTTTTGGAGAACAAATCTACAAACTCCTCAAAGTCCATTTCAGGCTCATCGATTGTGTCCCACACCAACGAAGAAGAAACCTCCCTGAGAAACACAGAAGAGCACTTACATATTGTCATTTTTTAACAGTAAATATTAACACCTAGTTTAACTGGCCTTAAAAAGGTCTTGCAGTTTTGCATCGATTGAAATTATTAAATGTGTAAATGTGATCCGTTTATTATCACTGCAGAAAAAATCTGATAACAGACCAAACCAAGGTGGATTGTCTGATTTGAAGGTTTACTAAGATAATAAGAATCATGATGTGTCAAAAGTTTGATGATATATGAAAGATGTTTATAATTTAGGAAAGCACATACATATATAAAAACATACATACATACCAGGGTTTCCGTTAGCCGGTAATTACCGGTTTTTAGCTGGTAACATTTATTAAAAAACGGTAAATTCAAAACCTGACGATAGTCACTCTTAATAGTTTGATCGGTGCTCTCTATAAAGGCCGATCAGGAGAGCTGGATCTGATCGATATGGACATAAACGTGAGTGAAGCATAGAGAGGCGAAGTCTCTCCCTTTCCGGGGGAGCTCCATGGGACCTTATTTCGGAAAAGTTATGCATTGAAGTCAATGGGGAGAGAAAGATTATCTTTCGATCCCGTTTGAATTGTGCCACGAATTACACATATGATGTTTGTCAATTTAAAAGATAATTTTACAAGTCAAAAAAAAAAAAATGTGTCGTAAAAATGTGAAGTAACACTTTTTTTGTGTGAAACCGCTCAATGAACTACATCTCCCGTCTCGCACCACACAACAAGGCGGCCGTCACGTTGGCACATTTCACTTCTTTCTTTCAGAATGAGGCGAAAAGTATTATAAGAGGTGAAAATCACTCCAAGTCTGGGCATGTTGAGAGCTGTACATACACACAAGGGGAGTGAGTCGGTTCCGTAAGAGCCAGCATGCGGGACCGGGATTCTGGGATTTGTAGTCTTTCTAGTTGCGTATTTTTCATAGTCTTATATTTCAACAGTTTTACGACAAACTGTGACTTTTTTGACATGGAAATGATTATTTAAGATTGTCAAACATCATATGTGTAATTCGTGGCACAATTCAAACGGGATCGAAAGATAATCTTTCTCTCTCCATTGACTTCAATACATACTTTTTCCGAAATAAGGTCCCATGGGTCGGAAGTAGATGGGCGGGACTTCGCCTCTCTATAACCGAGAGAGATCAGATCAGCTGCTGCATAATCACCTGAAGCCCCGCCCACTGTTTAGCGAGCTGCATGAGAAACTGACGCTGAAGCTGTCAGGAGAGAGAGGGAGGGAGAGAGAGAGAGGGAGAGGGGAAAAGAGAGGATCCGTTCCTCCCGTGTTATTATTCAAAGTTAATGTAAACTTTTGAATAATGTACTTCATCTACTACAAGTAGTTTGTTTGAATGTAACAATTATGTTGTTTGTTGTTTGTGGAATCATTTATTGAAAAATGAATCTGAATGTTTCGATCTGTTACGATTATAAACTGAAGCAATATAAAAATGAGCCCCATTAACTGAGTTTTAAACATCAGCATATCCGGTCATAGTCCGGAAATTACCTGCTAAAGGAAACTCTGCTGCACAATTCTTATTATTGAAACATGACCAGTAAGTTTGACCGGCGAGAAAAAATCCTAGCGGAAACCCTGATACATACATACATACATACATACATACATACATACATACATACATACATACATACATACATACATACACACACACACACACACACACACACACACATACATACATACACACACACATACACACATACACACACACACACACACACACACACACACACACACATACACACATACATACATACATACATACTTTGCAGTGCAAATGTAATGCAAATGTATGGTCCCTAATTTCAAGTTACAGTATACAACTGCCTACTATAGAGTAGGCAGTTGTATACTGTAGCTTGAAATTAGCTTTGTACATGGAATGTATTACAACTCTAACTTTTAAGTGGCTAAAGACTGTACTGAACTCTAATTAATAATTTCACTTCAAATATATGTTTTTGATCAAGATCCCTCCGCTTCGCGTCGGGCTCCTGATCAGCCTGTCGGGTGTTCTTTTACCCATAATGACCGCCTCGCTGCACATTATCCCTTACTTATTATACCAACATCACTCTATAATTATACCCATATGTTACACACTAACACACTTCTATTACACCAATGTTACACTGCGATGACACCCATATTTTACCCATGTTAAATTATTATTTCACCTATTACACTATTATGAGTCTCACATTACACCCATATTTCAACTGTATTACACTTTCATTACTCCCATTCTATATTTAAGCAATAGCTCACGACAGGCCGTGGTATATGCTCATTATATCACAGCTAAGGGGCGTGGTTCGGCCCGACGCGAAGCGGAGGGTCGACAACCCCCGACAACCCCCTTCATATATCACGGCCTGAAGTGAGCTATTGCTTTTATAAAACGGTTACCAAGTGTGGCAATATGAAAGAAAAATACACACTCTAATTTAAATAGTTTTTATTAGTAAATAATGATGTTCAAAATAAAATAGTCCCTCTGTTGCCTTCTGCACGAAACATAGTGCGAGGTGGTTGCTATGCAACAACACTAACAACAGCTAGCGAACATATTAGACAGAGAGCGTTGATCCATTAATTGGCTATTTATTTACATTAATGTGTATGTTGCCGTTTATTGTGCACCCACTGAAAAACTGTCCAGCATCAGTAGCATGGCTTACGTGGTTACTTGTATAGGCTGAGGTTGTTCTAGGCTGTTGCTTGGCGTGGCGAGAATATTGCTCCACTTGCTCCGGTCCCCGAGATTCGGCTTCCAGTAGCTCTGGAGAGAGCTTTCGCACCTGTGGCCACTAACGGTCATAATTTCTCTGCTTTGTTTCAAGACCCGCATCAGAAAGCTTTTGAATGGTGATACTTTTCCAGTTGGTCTACCTGCTCTTCACGTAGCTCTACATGTCGTCGTTTAGGTGCTTTTTGTTCTGGAGATAGGCACTCCTCAATCCACTCCTCCATAGTGAGACCCACCCCCCCCCCCCCCCGGAGGATCTTAAATGTTTTTGCGGACCTTTTTGATTACAGATTTGAAAACATCGTTGCTTGCTTTAAAAGTAGCACAATTCATTATGTCAAACCTTGGAAAGTATCTAAATATCCCTGCCCTAATGCCAAAGGAACTGCACACTGAATATGTTTTTGCCGTTTGATGTCTATGTCTGGACCGTTGCGTAAAAAGGAGGGTTTCTGCCCGTTACTTCTCCGCTGCTTTCTTGTTCCAGTTTGAAAAGCAAACTGCAGGCAGTTTGCTTTTCAGCCCAACTGTATACTGTTTATCTCAGACGCGGAGGGATACTGACTTGTTGTGAAAAGTAACTTACAATTCTACCCGTGGTATACGCTCAGTATACCACGGCTAAGAACCAATCAGATTGCTTGATTTTACTTGTCCGTTTTATAATTGACTGTATCCCCCAGGGGACAGAAACTTTTTAAGGGTTAAATAGATTTGGGCTTGAATGGTCAGTAAACTAAACAATCTGCAGCATCATCTTCTACACCACCCTTACTTTTTGGTGGTGAGCTGGATCCTGGTCCAGTAGAGGGGCTTCATGGGTCTGGGGGGCTCCACCAGAGCCTTCCTGGGGGGCTTCTCCTGCGTCAGGCCCAGAGCGTACAGCCCCATGGGCAGAGGAGGAGGCAGCGAGCCCAGAGCCCCGGGGGGAGGGGGTGGAGCACACATGCCTCCCGGTGGAGGAGGGGGGGGAGGAGGCCCGCACCCTGGAGGTGGAGGAGGTGGGGCTCCCATTCCTGGTAACGGGGGAGGAGGTGGAGCCATGCCACAAGGGAGAGGAGGAGGAGGAGGGGGTGGGGGTGGAGCAATACCACCAGGAAGTGGAGGTGGAGGACATGCTGAACCAAAAGGTAATGGAGGTGGAGGAGGAGGAGGAGGAGGAGGAGGTGGAGGAGGTGGCATTAAGCCTCCTGGTAATGGTGGAGGTGGAGGTGGAGGAGGAGGAGGAGGTGGAGGAGGTGGCATTAAGCCTCCTGGTAATGGTGGAGGGGGAGGTGGTGGAGGAGGTGGTGCCATAATCTGTCCTGGTGGAGGTGGAGGTACTGCTCCTCCTGGAAGTGGAGGTGGAGGGGGGGGCTGCAGCTGACAGGAACACTGAAAGCCTTCCTGCCTGGGTGGAGGCTGCGGGGGAGGGTCCGCTCCACCCGGCTCGCTGCAAGGCACTTTGAACTTAAAGCTGTCCTCCATGGGGGAGGTCTGCACCGACTTGGCCTCCAGCCCCCCCGCAGCTACAATGGTTTCAGTCTGCAGGTGAGCGTCACACACCGCCCTCAGCAGCCCCTCCTCTCCGCCCACCTCCCGGTCTGTGGTGGAGGGGGGGGGTTTCACAGTGTCCAGGGGGGGCAGCTGCTCCAGCTCAGCGATCTTGGTCCTGAGGGCCTCGATGGTCAGCTCCAGCTGCTGGATCACGTTCACGTGTTTGGCCTTCAGTTTCGCTGAAGGAAGGACACACTCCTCCTGCTCATATAAACAACCCAAAACACAAATCAGAGATGTTTCTTTGTGTGAAATCTGTTGATTGGCGAATGTAGAAATCACTCCTTTACATCCAAAATGGTCACTGGTACATTCAGAAATGAACGCTGACCCGATGAGACTAATCCATGTATCTGTATCATGTAATCATAATATCTACGTGACAAAACATATGAATGAATAGCTTTGAACACAATCCGACCACATGAGGCTACCAGGGCTCCTCCTATTGGCAGTGGCGAGCCGTCAGGGCCCTCTAGGCCCTCTGTGAGGGCCTAAGATATTCTAAAAAATAATATTTAAAAACATTTAAAAAATATATATTTTTTTTAAATATATATTTTTTAAATATTATTTTTGTTATATTTTTCATTAGTTTTACCGAAAAAAAACTTGATTTAATTGTATTTAAAATAACATTTCCAAAGAAATAAATCCTTCGAATCTGCCTGTTCAGTCTCTGTTGAATGTGAAGGGTTACATGAAAGAAGCTCACCTGGCCCTCTCTGCGATTCACAGAGGGCCCGCTATAGTAACTGAACGAGAGAGTAATGTCAAATGACAGTTCAATTGACCAATCATATCTTCCCTCTAAATGGGTGGGTTTTATTATCGCGGACTTTATGACAAGTTCCGCGCGCTGTGAAACTTTTCTTGTTTCCATAGCAACAACAACTTCCTGTCAACAGCGTGAACTCGCCTTCAAAATAAAAGCATGCCAAATTACACTTAAGACATACAACGGCAACGAAAGTAACAAACACAATGCAATATCATTTTCAATGTCAAAGAACACAAATTGGGTTCACAGGTGTTGTTTTGTGTGGTAGAGGGTCGCTGTCATTGATGCGTTTTGCACCCTGGGCCGTTGTTTTGATATTCCGCTGAAGTATACGCTGTGACGTAATAACTCTTTTTTTCTTCTTTTTTTCGAGGGAATTGGTGGGGGTCAGAGGGCCTAGGTATAAAACTCACGGCTCGCCACTGCCTATTGGAATATCTTGAGAATAAACAAAAAATATTTCTGAAAAAACTGTTGAAAATAAAAAGATAAAGTTATTGCCTTGCACTTCCTACAGCCTATGGAGGCATTTCTAACTTCAGAGAGAAAACATATAGAATATTTGTTTTGATGTTCCTGTTGGAAAATATGAAACATTGTCCGAGCGTTGGCACACAGCTGTATAATAAACTATCACGTACCATGACGACATGATGCTTTAAATCATTTCAGCCTCAGCTTTATGTAAAGATAAAGAAAGAGACTGACCTCATGGCTCTCCTTCGGTTGTTGAGTTGAACCCAAGATGGCTGCTTGGTGTTCTGAACAGAAAACACATCAGCCGGTCAGCAAAACACAGAACCACAGAAACACTCTTCAGATGGCCACAGGTCTTCTGTAGGCCACTGTGACTGTATCAATGTGTGTGTGACATATTACATAGGATTGTTTGTTTTGTGGAGTTTTTCTCCACTACCACACCATCAGAGGGTTTTCACATATTTCCGAACCCAACGGTGACCTGTACATCACTGCAGAAAGGTGAGAAGTTAGAGCATGACTAGTCAGGAAAGAGAAAATGTTTAGGTGCTGTAAAGATAGTTTTTACACAAGTAATAATAATAATAATAATAAATTATATTATTATTTCTTGAACTCAAAGATGCTACAGTATAAGGGAGGGTGGACGAACAAGGACAAACAAAGACAGTCAACAGGAAATGGATTGATGGGGGGAGGGGGGGTGTCTTATGGATGGACAGAGGTGAAAAGATATGTTTTGAGGCTGGACTGGAAGAGTGTGAGGGACTCGGAATCACGAAGATCTTGGGGGAGGGAATTCCAGAGCCTGGGATCTGCCTCAGAGAAGGCTCTGTCCCAGTGCTGCAGAGTTTGGATTTGAGAATGGATAGGAGACCGGCTGCAGTGGATCTGAGGGACCGTGGGGGTTGGTAGGGGGTGAGAAGGTTGGTGAGGTAGGGGGGGGGGGTCAAATGGTGGAGGGCTTTGTAGGTGAGGACCAGCATTTTGTAATTGATGCGGTGGGAGACAGGAAACCAGTGAAGTTCTTTGAGGACTGGGGTGATGTGGTGCCATGACTTGGTGTGTGTGAGGAGTCGTGGGGCTGTATTTGAACCAGTGATTACATTACAACAACACAGTACTATTTGTGATACATGATGCAATGTGTACTGTACAGTATATATAAATATATATTAAAACATTGGACGTTATACATATTTTCTGATTAGAATGTCCTTTTCTTTTTTTGTGTTAGGAATTATTAAGTAGGTTTCATGTCACACCATGCAGCTGTTAGCTCAATCTTGATCTTTAGGTGGCGTCTCTGTTTTTGGAGTGTTAACATGTTTTGCCTGAAGGTATATTTGTTTATTATCTAAGGGTCAGTTAAATATGCAGAGCAGAAGAGAGATCAGCCGGACACACTTCTCTGTGTTCTGTTTGTTCCCTTGCACAAGCCTTTTTATTAAACTGTCGATGTTGTTAGACATCAGTTCCAAATTCCAGCAGCTTCTTTGTGTTTTCCAATTGTATTTCTCAAGGGAAATCCCATCTGCCGGGTTTAATCTGTGGCACTCAGTGAAGAGTATTTAAATTGGTTTGTATGTACATGTACATGAAAATGAACTGCACATGTAGCAACAAAAACATTAAGCTGCACACACTCAATTATTGGCACACCTAACATCTTGGATAGATTTAGGAATTTCATATGAATTTGTTGAACGAAAATGAGTTATTAATCAGAAGAGAATTTGAAGCTGAACAGAAGGTTAATATAGAAACAGAGATGGGGGTCCCTCTGGTCCTGTGGACAGCAGAGTGTCAGCATGAGTAACTGGACCCACTAAAGTGTTATCAGATAGAGAGATAATACTAATTAATACTGAAGGACAAAATGTATCAACACATTCAAATTCAAATGGTATATAAAAAAAAGTATTTGTTTTTTGTTATCTGCTGAAATAACAAAATACAATACCATTAAAAAAAAAGAGTATTCTGACCACCTCAAAGCACTGTTACACTACCTGCCAGCATTTCTTCATCCATACACACATTCATTCACTGATGGCAATGCTGCTTTACAAGGCGTTGTTTATCATCTAACTCACACACTCACACAGGGCTGATGGCTTTGAGAGCAATTGTACATTATGGGTTGGTATCCAGCCCAGGAGTCTTTGACATGCCAGCAGTGAGAGGTGAGCATTAGTGTGATCTGAGTGATGCATGTAGCTCTCCAGCGATGCTGCCAAACACCAACTATCCATGTCATCATGGTGTCCCTGCCCTATCACTGTTATTTTAAAGAGCACTAATGTATATGCGGCAAATTGTGTAATACAAAATAGGAGGTCAGATTTAAAAAAAAGTTACATTAAAAGACTCTAACTCATCATACTTTAAGGAGCTTAATATGATCATAGCCCCGTACCATCATTCTCAATCTGCTAACAATTGAAAATCCTCTGGCTTTCAGGTTACAGAAATGACTACTCACCTTGATTGTCTTCTAAAATGCCAAAGCATGAACATCCCATTCAGATGCAGATAGGATATGGAAAAAGGAAGAAAAACAAATACAAAGGTGAGAATCCTTGTCTAAAACTGGACCGATCATCAGTGAATCTTAAGCACTTGGACACACATAACAATGCTTCCCTCTTGATGCTAGCTTCCACCCTGCCTTTTTCCCCATTGTGTTCCTCTTTAGGAGGGAAAGAGACTCAATTTCAACAAAACACATATGGCAGAATTATAAGACAAATACAATTAAATAATTCATAAATCTTACTGTAATACTAACGTAAAATCAGTTCTATGCTGTTCTTTGTTGTTTGAAAAGAACAGTGTAACAGTTTTGTATAAATGTTTGACCTAATCAACTCATGGTATTCCTCTTCAAGAACACTGAACCTTTAGCTAACATCTACCTCTTGGTACTAGAACTGTCAGACATTAAGAATATGTGCTCACTTGGGCTTAACAACTGTCCAAAACTGTGTAGCTCTAGACTGAACATGGACTCAATGGATACATCTCTCATGGCTGTCACACCCAGCAAATCTTAACACATACTGTGAAGCATAAACACATTATAATACATGAAAAATGGGAACAACACAAAGTAGACTAGTCCAAAAAACAAGATGATTGTCAGTGGATACAAATTCTGATCCTAAGATCCAAACTTTGAGGGACTCACATAAATCTCAGCATCTTTCCAACAATCTACTGACTACACAAATAAAGAGCTACCGTTGAGAAAGACTTATCAGCCCTATTAAGTAGCCAGCTTGCGATATATATGTGTATATATATATATAGATGATGAGTGTGTGTTGATCTTACCTGCCTCTGTGGCTTTGAGCCAAGTCTTGGTGTCCCCTCCTGGTTTAACAGGAGCCCAGGGGCCCCTCAGCTGCCCCGGTAGTTTCCCCTCCAGAGAATCCAGGGAGTGAGAGGGCTGGTTAACTGCTGCCCAGGTATACAGCTGGTCATGCTGCGGGGGGGGGGAAGTAGATTTGGTACTTTTGATTATCACTCTACAAATATGACAATGTACAGCAAATATTTGTACTTTTACTACACCATTTAACAGTATGTTGCCTTAGTAACAGTCACGATGCTGTAAACAAACTAATTCTGATTCACAGAATTGTGAGTCAGAATAGGAAATATGTCACACAGGGTTAACACAAAAAGGAGAACAAATACAAAATATACATACAGTATGTTAGGTACATTTAAAAGCAAGTACGTAGTAACAAGTACGTTTTACGTTTTTGTAAGTAGTAGCAACGAAATGTTCATACGTAGGATAGAATAAAAAACATTTTCTGAAACTGAGATTGTAAAAATATGTTATACTCTTTTCATCACATCCCACATTCTCTTGGACTAGGTTGCCCCTGTGCAATCATGAGTATGTGCTAATGCATATATTGGTGAGGAAATCAATATACATGACATACACTATAGGCTGTGGTCTTGCAATGCCAAAACCGCCAATGGCCAAAACAAAGAAAAGATAGATGATCATGGCGTGTGATCACAGGATGTGTGTGTGCGCACAGAACCTTCACAACACACATGATGATGATGTATGGTTGAATGTAATAGCAAACAGATATTTGCTTTGTTAAGACTAAATATAATCTGGTTCAGAATGAAGTCACTTTCTCAGATCTTCTGCATTGTTTCATTGGCCGCCCGTCGTGCATGCATGTTAGTGAAGGTGAGTCCCTGTGTGTCCCACTGGCTGTTCAATCACAGTCGCTCATACAGCTGTTGCTGCCCCCCCTCCAGGTTAGACACTGTAGGCTCTGTCAGCACTGTTGTCCCTGTTTGCGCTGTTAGCACTATTAGCACTATTATCACTGCCAGTACTGCTAGTTGCCATTTTTGGCACCTCCATTTTTCCTAGACATGGGCGTGTTAACGCATTAACACCTGCTGTTTCTGGAAACCTAAAACCTTTATAAATGTGTGTGACTACACAGCAAATAGAGATAAACTGATGACTGAGGAGATATCCCCCAGTGTTGAGATGTTTAAGATGGCACTTACACTCATTTGCCTTAGATGTAGTAAAGACAGAGAAAATGCATCTTGCCGAACCATGCGCCAGTTTCTTGGTGTTCGATAGCGGGCAAGATCTCCACTGTTGGAACAGAAAGTGCTCAAGTATGATAGCAACAGCAAGAATACTACTATATGAGCATATGCCCTGTCTAGAGCACATTATACAGAGGGCATGTCAGTGACAGTGGCTTTGTCAATGCTTTAGCTAAGCTCGTCTGCCTGTGCAACTGCTCTAAGAAAGGTACTTTATGAACTAGTTGACTAGTGGAAGGACAACAATGTTCACACTGAGTAATGTTATTCGACACAGTGTGAAAAGGGACTGTTCACTTTGTTTCCTAAAAGACATGGCATTCAGTTTGTTAGATGCCTTCTCACTTTAGAAATAATTTAGGTACTTTTTTTCAAATGTAGGTTTAGGGACACATGTATTGGTTTTATTTCCACCTTAAATACAATTAAATACTAGTATTTAATCATGTATTTAATCATGATTAGTAAGATTGTTATTGTGATTGACATGGTTACATTTGTTATACGATTGACAGTACTACTTTTGACGTAAGAAGAAATAGCCCTACTCAGGCAATCCCGGCCTACACTTTGTATGTTGTATGGCACCTAGGTAATACTTATAAAGATCAAACACAAATCCCCAATAATTGTCGTCACTTTTTAATTACTTTTTCCAATCCCAACCCTAACCCTAAAACTAGAAAGTGGCGACAGATAACCCACAAGTACTGGGGTTCTATTAAGAACACAGCAGCAAACATAGCCCAACCACAGCTTTGAAAAACGTTTATGAAGTGTGTCTACATACATCAAATTTGGCTGATGCTGTGGAGGGGAGGTGGGTGGTGCTGCCCTCCAGCTGCTCTCTGAAGCAGTCAGCAAACGGCAGCAGGAGCCCCATGGCCAGGATCCTGGAGCAGAGCCGCTCCGCCTCCTCCGGCTCCTCCTGCTGCTGCTGCTGCAGGAACAGCTTCTCCAGGAGGGTTCGCCCTGACAGACCATGATCAAACAAACGCTGTTTGCTAAAAATCCTAGCTAAATAAAAACAGGATGTACATGCACTGTAGTAAGTTGTTACTGACAGCACATTGAACAAAAAGATTGAACTTGAAGAGTCTTTAGTTATCAAATAGTCAACCATCGATTCTACACTATGGTGTCACTTTGTGTTAGTTTCAGTTAAAGTTGGACTTTGGATGGAGTTATTCTACAAACAAGGACATATCATACATACATACATCTAAGAACTCCACTTTCTCCAGCAGAAATCTAGATTGGCAAATCATTGGTCAATCAGCTTTTCAAGGTAATGGACCCTTATATGCATGACATTCAAAAGAATACTCCAGTGCTTTTAGGAATTACCAGTCTCGCTGACATCTAGCTGAATTAATCAGAAGAAATCCAATTAAGCATACACTGAATTGTTTGTGTCTGCATATCCATTGATTCCCACTTGTTACGTTGAGCATATTGCTTTCTTCTTGCCCCCAGTAAACTATAACTGTATTGTAAGTGACATTGCTCCCTGCTCACCTGTGAAGATGTCCTGAAAGCTGCAGGTAGAAACCTGTCCACAGGAGGATCTTCTGGTGGCACAGAGGGGCTGGCTGCCTCCTCCTCTGTAGCCCACCAGATATTCCCCTGAACCACCCCCCTCCTCATCCCTGCTCCTCAGCCTCCTCTCCAGCTCCTCCGTCCAGTCAGCAGAGCGACTCAGAGAGCCAGCGAGGCTTCGAGAGCGCTGCCGCCGGACCCGAGGACTCTCAGCCATCGTCCTGTCAACACACACACTACAGGTTAGTGTTGCTTTGGAAACAGATCACTCACAACACTTATTACAATGGGCAAACTACAATGATACAATAAAAACAGGCAAATTACCAATGTTCTTCAAATTTGGCAGTAGCCTACTTTTAGTATTGTAGCAGACTCAAAGGACAAAAATCACCCCTGTCTGTGGTTAAAGTCTAGCACCCAAATAATGTGCCTTTACTGTGATGTTTTACCTTCAAATCCAACACAGTAACATTTGAACAGTGTCAGTGTGTTACTATGGTAATGCAGATTGTTGAAAGGAGCAACATTTTCTTTTAAATGTGAGTGTTAAGCCTGAAAATAAACGACACACCTTGTACAGTCAAAGACAGAAGTCACAACTTTTACAGTTTTTCAGACTTCATTTTATTTGGAACTTTCCGAAAGCCAATGGTCTAAATGAATTAAAACAAATATATATATATACTTTTATTTATTTATGAATTTCACTCAGTAGTGCTACTTCAAAAACAATAGCAGGCATCATTCTGACTTTAAAGGAATGCCCATCACAAGGATGCAAGTGGGCTCTAAAACTAAATGGAGATGAATGGAACCACATGCCTGAGTTAAAGCCCTTTCAGAAATGAAATATGAAACCTTGCAGGGTACATCTATCTTCTATATAGTGTTGACTTTTTGTTATTCAGACATAGATGACTTTTGTGCCAATGTTCCTTACAGACATGACAGGATATTTATAGAAAGAGCTGAGTGTGGATGTGTTATTTGGCACCTGCTGAGGGTACTATGTTTGTCCTGTACCCACCAACAGGACAAACATAGGGTACAGGACCTTTAGTTCTAACAGCCAGGTGCATCATCTGGACAAAGATAAATTAGATAAAAGATAAATTGTTTGTTAACTGAATGCTAACGAAACGTAGGCCCATCTGCATTACTAACCAAGCTGTTTCTTGCTTAATGAAACCCATAACATTAGCTTTCCTTTATGTGTGACTGTTTACTACATTTTGTGTTTGAAAATTGTATTCACTTTATTATTTGGTGTTAGTTTAGCATTTTTTGACACTTACAGCAAACAGCTAGCGGGTAGCATTGTAACCCTAACCCTTACCCTCAAAATATTGCAGACTTGCTGTTGATTACATCATACTTCATTTCCCTGTTGGCTTTGGGGAGATTTATTCACGAAACATGTGCTACCACTGTTATTGATGCCGATGCTCAGTGTGTGGTGTCTGAGTGCCCTTTTGGTTAGATTTAGATATTATGGTTTTGTGCATTTTTAATCCCTACATTATATTCACTTAGGTAATGAGATCTGGGAACTTGGTGACGTTACTATGCAAGTGGTGTTGCTTTTAATCTCTTTCTGTGCATGTAAACTACACTAGGTCAGTGTTTAAGTAAGAAGGTTGTTTGTCAACTGTGATGGATGTTTGGGTTATAACTTTATCATTTTACCAAGTTTGACCAACCTGGAGGTTCGTTGTCTGATCAGTCATCATTACACTCTGATCAGTCATCATTACACTCTGATCAGTCATCATTACACTCTGATCAGTCATCATTACACTCTGATCAGTCATCATTACACTCTGATCAGTCATCATTACACTCTTGAGATTTCTTCCTGTGACTTGTTTTTGCAACACAAAGTTCCCAGACCCCATCAATAACCTTTGTAATGATTCGTATGATTCTAAAACTACTAAAATAACACCATCTTGTAATAAACTTCAATTATCCTCTTTATCTAACAAATACAATACACTTTACCTGCAAATGATTAACATCACTTGTGACTGTTAAAACGCATACTGTATCAACAAATCAGAAATAATAACATTATTATAAGTGACTTCACCCCAGGTACCTGTGGAGGTGGTGGTGGGCTCTGCGCGGGGACAGGGGGCTGTGGGAGGGGGACAGGGCGGGGGAGTGTCCAGGGGAGCTGAGCTGCCTGGTGGTGGTCTTGATGTAGGAGGGGAAGATGGGAGGGTAGGGTTTCACCACAGGGGAAGAGGAGGTGGAGGAGTGAGTGGACCTGAGGAGATGTCTGGCTAATGTGGGGCTCTCCTTGGGGGGCAGCGGGGTGAAGCACACGCTGCTCTTCCTGCACTGCTGGTTGGAGGGGGGGGCAGCAGACCCCGCACTCAGGCAGTCCTCGAGGGACTCTGCACTGGTACCCGAGCCCAACAGACCCTCACCTTCTTCGAACACGACCCCTGAGCTCAGCACGTTTTCGGGGGGGTCTGCTGGTGGAGGGCTGAGATCCACCTCCACCCCCGGATCCATCTCCTCCTCTCCTTCACCTCCTGCTCTCTCCCCCGGGGTCTCAGCACTGTCAAATGTGAGGTCAGTGAAGCTGTTAGCACAGGTTGTCATGGAGACCGGGCTGACTGTTGCCCCCCCTGTTGTAGCCATGGTGATGGTAGTGTGAGGGGGCTCCTGCACCCAATCATGCTGCTCCTTTGTGCCTGTGGCAACACAAAGAGGGGCTTCTCTCTCCCTCTGCCCCTTCCCATTTAGCTCCGGATGCTCCAGCCCCCCCATCTCCTCCCTTCTCTCATGTACCTCAGTGGGTGAGGGGGGGTGTGGTGTCTGCTCCGTGAGCTTGACAGAGCTGGACACAGTTCCCGTCTCCAGGAATGACAGGGCATCGGACCCCAGCTCTAATTCTGGAGTCAGGTCAATCACCTCTGGAGGAGTACATTGAACTCCCCCATTACTCTCCCTCCTCCCCTCTCCTCCCCTCAGGCTCAGACCCTTTTCTCCCGGTCCTTGTGCATCCAAAGTAGGATAACCCCCCCCATGCTGCTGTTGGTACTGGAGCCTGATAGCCAGCTGGATGTCTGCTAGCAGATCCTCGTGGTCGGCTGCAGAGTGGAAGCTGTAGATGTCAGTGTCGGACCCTGAGCTGCCCCCCTTCGGCCCCCCATCCTCCGCGGGTGAGGTTGCTGCTGTCGAGGCTTTCCTCTGCACCTCCTGCTTCGGCTCTTCTTTCTTTTTCCCCGGTTCTGATTTCTTTTTCTTTTCAACCTCAGTGTCCGACGGCCCCAGCTCGTCTGCAGACAGCTCAGGTGTTTTGGTGTCCAGCTCCTCATGTTGGGAGAGTAACACGTCCTCCTTCGATCCCGTCACTGACGAGCACACGTCCCCTCTCCCTTTCAGGTTGCCCTTTCTCTTCCGGATGGAGAAAACAGAGGACTTGGACTCGGATTTGTTTTTCTTCTTCCCTGGTCCTGTGCCATGCATCCCCCCTCCTCCTCCACCGTTGCCTGCTCCTTTACCTCCATGCTTACTGTGTGGTTTCTTTCCCCCCTTTTTGGTGGTATCCCCTCCTCCCTCTCTCCATCCTTCATCCAGGGAAGGGTAGCTCCCGTTACCCGATGCTGCTGCAGCTCTCTTCTGCTTGGCCTCCTGGTTGCCCATGTTGATAGCAATACCGATGGCTTCCTGCCTCTCCTCTCAGGTCATGTCAGCGAGAGCCCCTCCTGCCTGGGGGAGTCTTTAGATGCTCTGGAAACCGTTGTGGCCTAATCTGTGGAAGCACGTCTGGTGGAGGTGGAGGAGCTGCTGCTGCTGATGGTGTTAAAGCTCCGTTGTGCTCCTGTCTTCCTCCTTGTCTTCCTGTGACGGAGGCCGGCGTGGCAGTGATGTTGACGCTGATGCAGGAGAGGCATACAGCTCCCTCCTCCTCCCCTTTCTCTCTTTCTGTCTTACCCTCCCCCCTCCTCCTCCTCTCCATCTGCTGAAAGGAGTGACGTAGGCAATGCATGCTCAGTGAGGCTCGGGCAGGGAGGCAGGCTGGGTGAGATGCTGGGAGACTGGGATGGGGACACAAAGCTATGCCTACGGGGAAAAAAAGCTTGAGAGGAATAAAGATGCTGCTGGCGACTGTGACTGTGCTGTTGGGGGGGGTACACCCTCGTCTTGGCTGAGCTATCTCATCTGTCACTGCAGTTAGACACACACTAGCTCACTACAGCTCCATGATTCCCTGACTCCGTCCGACAATACCCATAGTGCTACAGTATGTGTGGGCAGGACTCCGGTAAAAGGACCTCTTATGCAGCGTACTGTTATTGCAGGATGCTGGCTCCTTGTCATTTTATTTTGCACAGCAATCACAGAAAAAATAATGCTTATTCATGGTTTGAAAAATGTACCTGAGCCATTTTTCTATTACAAAAAATGTATTTTTATTAAGGGTTTAAGTTATTGTTTCAATTGGAAAAAAATATCACTATTTGCCTTTAAGCAACTTACAATAAGTGCTGATCAATTTAGTTTACATTCAAACAGATAAAGCCTTACCATTACGTCCCTTGTTCCGGTGCTTTCCGTCACATCACATGATCTTCCTCAGTACATGGAGTTGTAACAGAATGTGGCTGTTTACATTTCCCCCCAGTATGGGGTACAATCCATGTTTCTGTTCTAGTGCAAAAGGAGTTTTTTGTTTTTTTGTTAATGAAAAATCACTAAATCACAACAAAAAACCTCCTGACATTTATACCGTAGGAAATTAACTTCCCCTTTTTGTTGGTGAAAGATAAAACGAGAGAGGCAGCATGTAGATGTCTGGACACGGTGTGCAGGCTTTTGGCATTACAGAGGAAGATCGAGACAGGCAGATCACGCAGACTGCGTGGGGCCTCACCTCACGGAGGGGGCCTCACCTCGCGGAGGGGGCCTCACCTCGCGGAGGGGGCCTCACCTCGCGGAGGGGGCCTCACCCGAAGCGGCGCACCTTTATGCGCTTATGCGGCGCAGTTACTGTAAGCGCGCCACAGTTTCGCCGCGTGCTCAACTACCACTCCTACAATATTACTTTACTTCCTTCCACGGTCCAAAAAAAATACATTAGGTCATTTATCAACTTATGCTTCACTTCAGTTTAAAACCAGTTAAACCCCACGGCAGGAGCCCGCGAGCCTTGCAACATCTTGCAAGAAACAGCGTCTGAGGTAGCCGCGGCGTTGTGGGTTGGCCTACTGGGCCTACTGGGCCTAGGCCCACCCACTCTGGCACTGGGCATTCATTGATCAAAAATGACTGGGCGAAAATATAGTTTCCAACATTTTTGATCTAAATGAACAATTAAATCATAAAATAAGAGCAAACAGGTGTTTCCCTTTCAAAAAATAATTAAATTAAAAGCAACATTAAAGGTAGGGTAGGTAAGTTTGAGAAACCGGCTCGAGATACACTTTTTGTTATATTCCATGGAATGCTCTTAACATCTCGATAGCAATGAATATCTTAAGTGCTTTGACAAAAAATCCATAAAAAAATTTCATCTGTGGAAGCCGTAATACTGTAAAAAGCACGACCAATCATTTTAGCCGGCCCGGCTAAAATAACTGGATGGCCTACCTGCCTGTCAGCCTTCCATCTGTGCACAAACTTAACTCGTGCCCTCATTGGTCATGTGCGCGTTCGTGTGTGTTGGAGGAGGGGCTCTATAAGGAAGTGGGAGATTTTCTCCGGTTGTGTATTTTCAAATTATAGCGATCTCGAGCCGGTTTCTCAAACTTACCTACCTACCTAACTACCTTTAATTAACGTAATCAGGCCGAACACATAGTCGAAGCGCGGGAGCAAACACATCGTAGAACGTCTCGCGGCCGCGCACAGACGAAGGAGGACAGTGGACTGGACAGACACAAAAAATATACCGCGCTCACTAACGATGTCACAACAATCGATGTTCAGGTTTTTTTAAAAGAGTAAGAACAGAGTCGCCGCCGCCGGAACCACCACACTCATCATCCTCACAGCAGGTGCCGCCTCAGAGAGACGAGAGTGTGTTTAATGTTGTGCCCCCGCTGAGCTCAGTCCCTCTGCGGGACGTAGCATCTGTTGGAAGGACAGAAAATAGCATCCCAGTGCCGGACCTATCAGCCATAGATGACCCGGCGGCTACACGGCCAAAGCTCATAAAGTAGGCCTACCCTCAGACACTTTTCGGACAAAAGAAAAGGAGCTTCGCTGCCCACTGGTATGACAAGTACACATTCTTGGAGTACAGCATTAGCAAGGACAGTGTGTTTTGTAAAATGTGCCGGCATTTTAGAGAGAGAGGTGGGGCCTGGCGGAGAAGATACATTCAGTCGCCATGGTTACAGGGACTGGAAACACATAGACTATGCTCTCAGTAAACACGAATGTCATTCTAGGCATAGCCTATTTTTATTAGATTATTAACAAAAATCGCGAGAAAACATTTGAACAGGCCCAGCCGAAATTACATTGGCCCACCCACAATTGAAATCCTGGCGCCGCGGCTGGTCAGAGGGCTTCTTAACATTTAATAAACTATGAATGTGTCATATCCACTTAAAGGTGGGGTAGGTCATTTTGGAGAAACCAGCTCGAGTGCGCAAGCATTTGAAAATACACAGCCGGAAAAAATCTGCCACTTCCTTATAGAGCCCCTCCTCCAACACACACGAACGCGCAGATGACCAATGAGGGCACGAGATAAGTTTGTGCACAGATGGAAGGCTGACAGGCAGGTAGGCCATCCAGTTATTTTAGCCGGGCCGGCTAAAATGATTGGTCGTACTTTTTACAGTACGACGGCTTCCACAGATGACATTTTTTTATGGATTTTTTGTCAAAGCACTTAAGATATTCATTGCTATCGGGATGTTAAGAGCATTCCATGGAATATAACAAAAAGTGTTTCTCGAGCCGGTTTCTCAAACTTACCTACCCCACCTTTAACGGGAAGAAACTCAGCTATCAGACAATATTAACCATTTTTTGCAAAAAGAAACATACTGTAAGTGTAATAACAAAGGCTCTGAATTAGCCCTGAGCGGGAAAAATGCTAATACACTTAGCACAGAACTCACGTTAAAATACCCTTATTACTTATCATATCTGCACAAAAAATCGATTACCAAGCTGAGATTCCACAGATTCTAGACATATAAGTATCATCACTGAGCGATCAGAACTCCCGGCGAAACGACAACAAACAATAACAACAAAATTAGCCAAAACGGCTAAAAACGTCTTAATTTAGTTGTTTTCTGATCAAAAGTGGTCTTCAATGGCATTAAAACGATAAAAACGATGCTGAAGGTTAATCCATAGGTTAATCCAATGTGTCTGTGTCACTTTGAAATGATTACTGATAATCCATCACTCCATTTTTATGTCAATAACGGAGTTTTCATATAGATGAGAGTAACACCTACGTCACTTCCGGGCAAAAATTACGGCCCCGCCCACTTTTGGGGGAAAACAACGCTGTCATTTGAATGGCGGTCAATACAAATTCTGAAGTTTTTGCAAATCCGATCAGAATTTTTTGAAAACCGTGGATTTTTGGATCTTCAAAGAGCCCGATTACGATGGCAAGTCAGGCAAACAATTACATGAAATCATTTGAAGTCGACAATCGGTCTCGATATATGGTTAAATTAAAATCAGTAGGCGAGGCTGTAATTTCTCCAGCTGTTACGGCCCCTACACACGTGCGTTGTCGCTTGCCGGCGGGCATGTCTGAAGCTAGACCAACAACCAATCACCTGAATCTTCCGCCCCGGACACACAAGCAGCGGTTTGATTGGCTAGAGCTTGTACTGGCATATGATTCGATTGGCTGACGCTTCCGTCGAAGCTTCAAAAGTAGAACATTGCTCTACTTTTGCAGCGAGCACCGCGAGAAAAGCTACGCTTTGCTCCCACAATGCAGTTTGGCGAAGCGTGACGTCACCCCATTCAAAGTGAATGGGCAGAAGCGTTGAAGCATCAACGCACGCCGCCGTGTGTAGGGGCCGTTACTCTCATGAGCGAGGCGGAAAATAATAGTTTTATCATGCCAAAAAGCTGCTGTGTCGTTTATTGCACCTCAAACATTAAAACAAATCCAGAGTTACGTTTGTCTGTACTTCCTCTAACAACAAAGGACAGTAAAAGAAGAGCTCTGTGGCTTCAGGCTCGACCGCCATTCAAATGACAGCGTTGTTTCTCCCAAAAGTGGGCGGGGCCGTAAAGTGATGTAGATGTTACTCTCATTTTGGTGCCCCCCCCCCCTCCAAGCAATACACAATAGAATATATAAAGAATAAATGAAAAATCTCTACAAAAGACCAATACACTACAAAAACTGAAACGTATTGACATGTTGGTTATATACATAAAGAAGGTTTCAAATGTATTCAGTATTGTATGAACATGTTTTGATTGGGGGGTGGACGTCACATGCCGGAAAGATTTTTTAACATTTTAAAGTAAAATGCTTCAATCTGGTGCACTTTGAGCAGAATTACTAGAGACTAGATCTAGGGGGTACAACACTAAAACACCCATATGAAAAAGATCGGTTTACATTTTAATAATCAAATAAGTATGTGAACATAACCAATAACCTACCATAGCCAATAACAAATAAATGTAACGTATTTTATTTTTGTTGTTCATTCATATCTTATTTGACCTAGTTAACATTTATTTATTCATGCATTTTTTTTAATATCTCCAGTTTTAAACGATATTTTTGGTTTACTGTCCTATAGTATACATTGAAATGATTTCAAACCTGTTGTTATTTATCCTAATAATTATAAAGGAGTGCCTTGGAAATATTTGTTTACATAAATTGTGACCAAACCGTTTGAGACCCACTGAGATAACTTAGACTAAAGTGAACTATCTAAACAGACTCCTTTACCTCACTGAGCTGTAGTTATCAGCCTCAATCCAACAACAATCCGCGGTACCGATGCTCGCTCGCACTTTGGCTGTGAGCTGCGGGCGCCTGATAAGTCAACATCCCCCACTTTCATCACTTACAGCGCCCATCGTACAGGGCAAATGCAAAATGTTGCCGACCCGGGGTGCAAAGGGTGTTTACTTTATTCAATTATTAATGTAAATGTATTACATCAAAATTAGTTAATTGAAATATATATATATATTTTTTTTTCTTTCTCCCAGCGCAGCACCCCTCCAGATTTGGTGCCCTAGGCGACCGCCTAGTTCGCCAGTGCCAAGGGCCGGCCCTGCTCTCATCTATGAAAATCGATAGCCTACTGCTATATTTAACCATATATCGAGCCCGATCGTCGATTTCCAATGGCTTAATGTAGTTGTTTGCCTGACTGGCCATTGTAATCGGGCTCTTTGAAGATCCAAAAATCCACGGTTTTCTTAAATTTCTGATCGGATAAGCAAAAACTTCAGAATTTGTATTGACCGCCATTCAAATGACAGCGTTGTTTTCCCCCAAAAGTGGGCGGAGCCGTACTTTTTGCCCGGAAGTGACGCATTTGTTACACTCATGTATATAGAGAGGCGAAGTCCCTCCCTTTCCGGTGGACCTCCATGGGACCTTATTTCGAAAAAAGTATGTGTTGAAGTCAATGGGGAGAGAAAGATTATCTTTCGATCCCGTTTGAATTGTGCCACGAATTACACATATGATGTTTGTCAATTTAAAAGATAATTTTGCAAGTCAAAAAAATGAAAATGTGTCGTAAAACTGTGAAGTAACACTTTTTTTGGTGTGAAACCGCTCAATGAACTACATCTCCCGTCTCGCACCACACACCAAGACGGCCGTCACGTTGGCACATTTCACTTCTTTCTTGCAGAATGAGGCGAAAAGTAAGTCTGGGCATGTTGAGAGCTGTACATACATAAAAGGGGAGTTAGTCGGTTCCGTAAGAGCCAGCATGCGGGACCGGGATTCTGGGATTTGTAGTCTTTCTAGTTGTGTATTTTTCATAGTCTTATATTTCAACAGTTTTACGACAAACTGTGACTTTTTTTACATGGAAATGATTTTTTAAGATTGACAAACATCATATCTATAATTCATGGCACAATTCAAACGGGATCAAAAGATAAGTTTTCTCTCCCCATTGACTTCAATACATAATTTTTCCGAAATAAGGTCCCATGGGTCGGAAGTAGATGGGCGTGACTTCGCCTCTCTATACTGTAGCTGCTATACGGTGCTGGCTGCTACGATAGCTACTAGAGTGTATGACAGCTTCCGGTTCCGGGGCATTCTGGCTACGCATCACTCATTCACCAATGGGTAATGTTTAGATGGATTTGAGGAACTTCCCCTCGATTCTATTGGCTCTAACGGTTAAAAAGAGATGTCAATCATCAAAATCGACCATTGGGAGCCAGAGATATGGAAAATCCACCCAAATGACCCCAGAAGTGTTTTGTTTTTTTCTAAATCTCTCTAAAAAGGTCAAATCTCACTTGTTTTGAATCAATCTTGATACAGGGTACTTATTATATGTTATAGTGTGGATTCCTAAAGCTTTGAGTCTACTATCCCATCATTCATCATTCACTATAAGTAATGTTTTTCTTTTTTTGGACGGACACTATAATTTACACTGAATTTACTTTAAAATAAAACATTTCTATATTGATTCTGACTTTTCTACATCCAACTCACAGGTTTATCATTGCTTTGAGAAAAAAGATTATTAATGTATCCCTTTTAGAAGGGAAGATATAGTCAATTGTTCTGGGAATGTCATTTTCGAGCCTGAGGCCTGAAAAACAGGCTCGGGGCTTAACTGAAGGTGTAAATAACTGATGTGGTAAGGTCAAAGCTAAATAAGGTAAACTAACCCCAAAGACAGAGATTGCCCAACATAACGATATGGCAATATGGAGCATGAAACTCCATACCATTACGGGGCAATTGCAGCTCAACCGAAGAAAGTGTAAAATATCCATCAAGCCTAAAACAAAAGAAAAACCTTATCACTGATGTTGTCATATCATTGATTGCCTTACTAGATCAATATCTTGAAAGTATACTGTAGATCTGTATATCACTATGTTGTATTTGCTGCTCTTTATCTCAAAACTGTAACAATAAGTTCTGGTTTTGGAGTGTAAACAGTTAATTATGTTCAGCAATCTTGGGTTAATAAGACAGAGTTTATTCATTTTATTTTATTGTTCTTTTACTCATATATTACATGAACATCAATGCAAATGCATATTCTGTACAGAGTCGAGGTGCACATTAATAAAAAGGGGCCCTGTGTTTACATTCAGTGTTCATTATACTCAGCAAAAGCCATTATGGGTATATTTGAGCTCTTACACATGGGCCCAGTGTGTTTCCCTTTTATTAAAACATTTCTAAGGCTAATTTAAATCCAATCCTACTAGCTTGCAGTCTTCTTTCTCCCTGACTTTGTTGGCACATTGCAGCATGTCTTGCATCTTGATCAGCCAATACTTGAACACACACACAGCTCTATAGCACTGTGGGATCCACATTATAAACACACACGTGCAATGTGTTTAACCTTTGTTTTTATAATGGCTTTCTTTATTCAAACATGTGTTCAGCCACCCGAGAAGGAAACCTTTACAGAGCAGCTTCCAATAACTCTAGTTTGTTTCTGCTTTGTTAATGTTTAGACGTTGTCAATATAAAAATGTACCATCATGACGTCAATCATGTCCCTTTTGTAGACTACAACATTATTGGCTGGTTTCAAGCGTCACATATCGACAGACATAACAAACAGAACAGGCCACTGCCAACTTTGAATTTCCATGCACTGAAAAACCTGAAACGTTGACTTTAATTAAATCTATGATGTCAACAAATGTAACATAACATTATTAGGTTAGTTAAAAGCAATAATATTCAGTTTAACCTATTGTTTTTTATTTAAACTTAGTATTATTGCTTTTAACTAACCTAATACAATAATGAGAAATCTGTTGACATAATACATTTAATTAAAGTCAACTTTTTAGTTTTTATTTTGTTTGGAGGCCCTTAATGTCTAACATATTAGATGTTGTACATGTATCTCCAAAGTAATACACATTTTGTGTTTAGTTTGTATACAATCAAATGAAATAAGTGTCAGTGTCACACAGTGTTGTAATTTTCAGTTGACAAAACATGCTGTGAGCAACATTCAAACAATACTGAATAATAATCACTTAAAATCAATTTCCTTAAACAACATAACAACAGTAATCGACTTTGTGTTCATTGGTGGTTTTCAGAACGCCTACAGGCCCTGAACAGGGTATTGCAAAACATATTTCACTTATCTGAAAGTGTAATTATAGTGACAATAATAAACAAGTGTATATTAAGAGTATTTTTGCCAGTTAACACAATAACACAATACAATTCAACAGAAGCACAGGTATACACTCCTAAAACTGCTTAAATAAATTGTTTTTTTTCCAAATAAACTAGTAACAGATTACTCCATAGCTGACATCCAGGTTTTCATTTTTAGCTGAAAATGAAAAACCACAATTAAATGAAAACTGTCTGTCTGCTGTTCCATTGTCCTGGTCGTATTAGTGTTAACAAACAACATGTTGGATGCAAACTATTTCAAAGCTCTTACATCCTTTAAAAGGTTCACTATACAACATTATTAAAATATTTTATTACTAGGGCAAGAGACATCTCTGCTCAGATTTTTATTTCTAAAGCCCTACTAGTTGCTCCACAAGGCTGCGTTTATTCATTATACTTCAAACTACAAATTGTCAGAACGAAAAACACAAATTGAAAATGTTGCTTTTCGAGCCTCAATAATATTTGGTTCATTGTCTGGGAGCAGGAATTATCTTTGTGATTTCTATTTGAACATTGGATTTTGATACCGGAGGTTCATGTGTCCACGGAAAATACTCAAATTCATCCTCTGGGGACCATGAATATCTGTAACAAACATTGTGAAAATCCAGAATTAGTATCTGAGCAATCGCAGTGATAGCCAAAACGCTAATCAACATGAACAAATTGCAGAAAGCTGTCACCAAGCAATTAGGAACCATAAATGGTTGTTCCACATATGAGACCAACAGATGAGCCTTTGGCCCCACTTCTAGCTCAGTAAAACTTCCTGTAGCATTACTTTTCCTAGGCACAATTTCATTCTGCATCTTTTGAAATATAAGACTTGTATGTTGGTTCCCAAATCTGAATCAAGATCAGGAAAATCATCTTTAAACACAAATCTCTCAATTATTTTAGATTGGGTCTTTCTTCTTTAAGGCCAAAGCTTTTCTCTGCTGAAAAGTAGGCTGGGTCTTCTTTTGATTCCACTGGCACATCAGAATATCCCTGAAAGTGGTCCTGAAGGTCTTGTTACACAGGGCGTAGCAGATGGGATTGATTGTGCTGTTAACGTAACACAGCCAGTAGCCCAGTGACCAAAGGGTTTCTGGAATACAGTTGGTACAGAAAGTGCTGACCAGCACCATTATGTTGTATGGTAACCATGTGGTGATGAAGACCACGAGGATGGCGCTGAGTGTCCGAGCTGCTTTATTTTCATTTGCCTTTTTTTCATTTGCCTTTTTTTCATTCTTGCGCTTATTGATCTCTGTCTTGGCCTTGGAGGCGAAGCGTTTTGCCATCGCCGCATCCTTCATGGTGATAGCTGCAGGTGACTGGGAGGCAGGGTTGGTTTGGGACTCTTTCCGACTTTTGTTGGACGATGATTGTTTGTCCTTGTTGTTCTTCCCCTTTCTAGATTTCTTACCACCTAGAGAGATAGACATATGTATAATTGTGTTATTTATATTAAGTTGAACACTCGATTCTGATCCTGATTCCAATTATTAACTTTTCCTAACGCTGCTAGGAAGAGCAGACCATAGCTAAGGAAATCATGGACAGGAACTATGTGCAGTCATATCAATCCGCAGAAAAAAGTGAGATACATTTCACGTCAGCTCAGGGCAACAATTTAGTTTATTGATTCGATTTTTTCCATCAGAAAACATAGTGGAATACTTTTTGAATATTCATTTTTAAACTTGTGGATAGCATTACACTTTTTATTCATTATGGCTAAACTGTCTCCAGAAAAGAAAAAAAAAACAGCGCAAGAGAAGGAACGAGGTTAAAAGACAGAGTGCTGGACGTCAGAGAAATCCACAGAAGAAGAACAGCAGAAGAAGACGGACAGTAAGTAAACACTAACGGAAACAGCAGAAGAGGACAGACAGGACATTAACACTAAAGGGAACAGCAGAAAAAGACAGACAGGAAGTTAACACTGACCCCGGGATTCCACCGGGTCCGTCTGCGCCGCGTTACGGCTGTGCCGCGGTTTTGGTCCGACCTCCTCAAGCGTCATACCCAACCGGGCGCGTTTCAGAAGCGGAGCGTCTTGCGTGCCGGCTCGCAGTTTTTGTTGATTTGGGCATACTTTGTACAGACAAAGTTAATAATAATTGTAATAGTCCAGTTATAAACTACATGAATCAAAGATGTGTTGCTGTATTTTAGTGGTAAAAAAATGCATTCATCATCATAATTATTCTATATATAATTTACACAGTGCCTGTAAACCGGAGGAGAACGCTGGCATTTATTCTCCTACTTGAAAGACTACGGTACGGAGGGAAAGGGTCTGCAAAATGTGTTTATTTTGGGGATTGACTGGATGCTCTGACCGGTCCACTTCCTGCCCGGCGCTATGCAACGCCTCGCATCAAAAATAGACCAGCCGCCTACCTTTAGCGGAGCCCAGTGCCGAGACGCTTCTGGGACGCTTCTGGGACGCTTCTGAGCCGTAACGCGGTGCGTCTGGTGGAATAGCACCCATTGACTAGAGTGGCCGCGATTGTTGTGAACGCTGCGGCGCAGCCGTAACGCGGCCGTAACGCGGCCGTAACGCGGCCGTAACGCGGCCGTAACTCGGCGCAGACGGACCCGGTGGAATCTAGGGGTAAAGGGAACAGCAGAAGAAGACAGACAGGAAGTAAACACTAACAGGAACAGCAGAAGAAGACAGACAGGAAGTTAATACTAAAGGGAACAGCAGAAGAAGACAGACAGGAAGTAAACACTAACGGGAACAGCAGAAGAAGACAGACAGGAAGTAAACACAAACAGGAACATGGTATGGGCTCTGGCTCTGGCAGAGTTTAAAGACTTGTTAGTGGAAAATAAATTGTGAACGCACTTGGAAAGTTACAGAAAACCTCGATCAGTACATATAAACGGTATGTATATGTATTAGTTTAAATCCATACCTTCAGCCTCGTCGTCTGAACCGGACTGGTCCCCAGAGCCACCGGCTTCAATGTTGAGGCTTTCACTGCTGCTCTGCTCTGCTTCACCCACAGTAGTTATCGTGGTGTTGACGGACCTTTTGAATGCATGGCGACCTGGCAACAGTGATGAAAACTGGAAGCAGCACGATGAGCCACACCTCCCTCTGCTTCCTGTTCCTCCTGCCATGCTGGTATTTTCCTTGTTGTTCTTCTCAGAAGCCGACTGGTTAAGTTCATCGCTGCTGCAGCTTTGAGAGCTCATTTGGCGTTGCATGGCTGATGAATCCTTCTGGCTGTTAGTCGCACCTTCTCCACCAACTTTCCCACTGCCACTTCCTTGATTCTGAGCCTGGCTTGAGCTTTTGCCAACTCCAGCTCCCCTGAGACTTTGCATATCTTTATTACGTTTTTCTGTCTCCTGATATATCTTCCAAAACAGGAATGTCATAATACTTACTGGCAAGTAGAAAGCAGCAATAGCAGTGCAGAATGTGATAATTGGCTCAGACAGGAACTGGATGTAGCAATGATTGGGCGTAACGGTTCGCTCACCCACGATGTACTGCCAGAACAGGATGGCTGGGGCCCAGAGAATGAAAGAGATGGACCAGGCTAATCCTATCATGGTCATGGCTCGCTTGGTTGTGCGCTTGGCCCGGTATGTCAGAGGTCTGGTAACAGAGAAATACCTAAAAGAAAGAAAGAAGAACTGTACACATACACAGTAACTGTAACTGTACCGTGCATTACTGTCTACCACATTGTCTCTGCTGATAGTACCATAAAGGGTCAGAATATTCCAAACAATGGAAATTAAATGCACATTTTCCTATTGGAAAATGTGCGAGTATCAGACATTCATCACAAAATAGTCTGATACTGATGATCAATCCTAGTTATACCTTCTTACAACTGACCCTCTATCAGATTTAGCATCTCAAGGAGAGAATTTATATTTTTAAAATCAACATATCTCTTTTAGTAGTGCCAACAGTATATGATCTTGTATAGACAAGATCATATACTGTGATCTTTACAGTTTATCAACAAAAATAAAACAAGTTCTGTTTTTTTACCTGTCAAAGCTGATAACAAGCAGGTTCATGACTGAGGCGTTACTTGCCACATAGTCTATTGCGAGCCACAAGTCACAGACCACCGGCCCCAGGGCCCACTGGTTCATGATGATGTAAATGGTGTACAGGTTCATTGACAGGGTGCCGATAGTCAGGTCAGCAAATGCTAGGCTAAGCAGGTAGTAGTTGTTCACTGTCTTCAGTGCCTTATTGATCTTGAATGACACCATCACTAGGATGTTGCCAACAACCGTGACAATAGAAAGTGATCCAGTGAGGAAGACGATAACAAGGACCTGAAGAGGAAGAGGTAAAGAGATAAGACAACCAAAGAGGGCGGTTTAGTGCATTAAGTTATTTATTTGTTAATGACTCAAAGGGACTCAAAATCCCAACACATAATCCTCATTTAGTGTTAGCTTTATCAAATGTAAGTAACATCATTATTATCTTTTGAAAAATCAGACTTAGCTGGGAAAGAAAATGCACCTCTGACAGAAATAATTTAGTGGGAATGCTGATACAGCATATGTTATGCTACGGACAACATTTTTATTATTATTCCGCCGACTTATTTTGGCCCTCTTCTCCTTCCACATTCAACATCGCAGAAACTCCGTTCAAACATCAAAACGTTCAGCTCGGTCGGGAATTGCAGGCTATTACTTTTATCATTCATAACTTTCATAATTCCAGAGATACATCCCATAATTCATCACATTTTTAACATGGAAGTCAATGGAGACATTCTTCAGACTCCAACAAATCTTCATGCGACTTCAACTGCTAACTGTTCATTCATACTTTCACTCAGAAACCTCACTCCAACTTTAAAATGTTACACATCTTTCTGACATTATTCGTGTAACACAACTTTTAAATCTGATTCTTACTTTTAGAGATATTAAACATTGTTCAAACCTTGTTAAAGAGGTTTTCTTCAGATTTTAACATTAACTAGAGTGTGTGATGTCACAGCTAGAGTGTGGGAATTCTTGAAATGTGCCTTCATATTTTTTTTTAAAACAGCCATAATTCCCAAACCCTACATTCTTGAGACATAATTTTTCATGACAAACGTAGGAAAACATCTCGTAGCTTGAAAAATGACAAATAATTAAGCAAAATAATTAAACAAAATGCCTCTTGAGGGTATGAAGTGACAAAAACTTTCAACATGTCTCCATTAAAACCCATTGTAATTTCAGGCAGATATTTCCTCACAGCAGCAGCCGCACACCTTTAGTTAAACTGCCAAAAAGGCCACATTATTAACCCGAAAGTACACAAAAATTACACTTCAGATACTCAACTTCCTTGACATGCTTCACGTTTTGAAATTTCACAGATATCTGTTATCGTTCTTCCACAAAACGTTCACATGTAAGAGGTTTATCTCTCATTCAGAACAATGGAAACCTTTGATCTCTGGACACCTCGTTAGCTCAAATATAAACACCTGTGTCATGGAACACGATGATGTCATAACTCCAACTGACATGCTCAGAGCAGCAGACTTCAGATAATGGTTAATGGTCCTGCCCTCAACAGCTCTATGTCAATTATGGGGTGTCATCATATGCCGTTTCCCTCGCCATAAAAGACGAAGTCGCTTTACATTAACTCCTATGAAAATGTTCAAAAAGTGCTCAAACTTTACATGTGTGCTATGCCTCAACAGCTCTACGTAAAATCTGAGATCTCACCATATGCCGTTTCCATGGAAACGCATCACTCGCCATAAACGACGATGTCGCTATGACTCCTATGAAAATGTTCAAAAAGTGCTCAAACTTCACATGTGTGCTAACAGTCCAGCCGTGAAGACATCTACGGGACATGCCGTTGCCATGGCAACACAATGCCCGCCATGAAACACGGTTTTCTCATAACTTCAGTGAAAATGCTCCAAATGGCCCAAAACTTCACAGGTTTGGTAACGATGCAGCCATCAACGCATCTAAGCGTATTATGGGATGTCATCAAATGCCGTTGGCATGGCGACAGATCATTCACGTCACATCATCAAGTTAGTTCAAAAGTTTGCAGTTCAAATATTCTGCTGCTTTTCCAAGCCTTTTTACTTTATTTTCTTCTCTCATCACACATTCAAGCCCCCAGTGTTCATGTATCATTTCAATCTAAATTCTTCACTTTCTTCTTACACATTACATTTCAGAATAGCAGTTTAGCGTCACATTTTCAGCATAAAGCATTCCCACTAGCAATTTCTTCAGGAATTGCATTCTCTAGTATCATTCTGCTGCTTTACTTTTCACCTAATAATTTGATGACTACCTGTCATGAAGAAATTGGCCAAGATGTTAGTAGAGGTGCACCACAAGGTTCTACTCTGGGTCATCTTACATTCACCATCGATACAAATAAAATAAAGTAATGACTGTCACCACGCAACATTTCTCTGTAGACAATAATGTTTTATATGCCATAGATGCATCCCAAATTATGGTTTTCATCTTTCTATTATTAAACATTAGCTTGTTTTAATGAAAATGAATGGATAGGTGACTGAAATGTAACAGACTAATGGAAGTACTTAGATAACACAGAACGACTCAGGTCAATAATAATTTCAGTCTCATAGCTTTCCACAGATGCAAAGTTTACCTTGGAACCACAACTATAAGCAAGCGGTTTAAATGAGCCATACATTCCCTGGAGTGTTGGAGCATCCATCCAGCAGGCATTGCTGAATGTTTCTCTGGTCTAGAATAAGCCGCTTCTAAAGCCATGGAATTTACACAATGACCCCACAGAACTTCCATGCCTAAATGTAGGTAAAACAACTATGGTAAGCAATATAAGATATCAATTATTGTTGTTTATTTATCTACACTTGAATGTGCACTAATTTTTTGTTGATGAGTTATTCAAGAATAAAGGTTCACTAAAGCAATTAAAATCACAGTTGATTGTTACCTGCAAGACAGTATGTCCTCCTAACGGGTCGAACTCCTCTGCTGGCAGCATTAATGTCGGGTTCCCTGGTGAATCAGTGTAGTTTCCTTCTGGTCCTGACAGATGACTGACATTTTGCTGTTTCCAACCGCCAACACTGTCAGACGGTATGTCCAACCCCTGATAAGAACCACCTGAAGATGTGGAGAAACATATTTTTCAAGCCACAATTCAACGCAGCACATCAAAGATGATTTCCCTTTAATACAAACATTCTGAAAGGCTAACTATACTTTTGATCTGAGTTTTGGAGTCTACAATTACTGTTCCTGAAAAGCAGGAGGAGTTTCATACAATTCTAAAACAAATTTATCAAATGACTTAGCTGTGCATTTTCTCAGCAATATTTGGCTTTAATCGTAGAGAGCTTTCCAAGTCCATTTTAATTATATTTTATCAAAATGATTTTATTATTAATCTTTGAATATATAAGGTGTTAAAAAGCTAAGTGCTGTAGTGTTGTGTAATACCCAAAATGGCAGGCTCATTCATGATGGTGAGGAAGTGGGGAGAGTCAGAGCTGGAGGTCAGGTTTATGATGACCGATGGACATCTTTGAGAAAATAGAAGAAATAAGGATTATTTGTCTTCATTTATTTCATTTTATGTCTACATGAAACAAAAAGTCCCTGACACAAACAGAAGACCACGCATCATTACTACAGGATTCTGTAGTAATGATGCGAACGTTCTGTCATGATGACAATGGTCCAGGCATGTTTATCTTTTCCAGTGCAATCCTCTGCTCCCATTGCATTGCTGGTTCTGGCATAGATTAGCATAGCCTGTAAAGAATAGATGACATTACTAATACAGGCTGTACTAATTAAAGCCAGAACCATCACATCTCCTCAGGAAGGGTCTTCAGCTCTGATGTGTCCTTCTGGAGAACAGAGGGGTTTGCTGGTTTTGCATTCCTACAAAAACAAATGTAACAAATGAAAACTGTAGGAGCCATGAAACTCATTTTTGATTTCAGACAATTGGAACCAGGCCCGACCTCACCCTCTCAGCGACTGTTTGTTCCCTCAAGTCGCTACATTAACAATCACCGAAAAATATTTCAATGTTAAATAAATAAAATAAGTGAAGGTTTAAATTGTGACCCAATGTTAAAAATGGAAAAAATGTAATCAAAACTATGTGTGTCATTTCATTATTGTTTTTCCTGACAGTTTACTATTTTTATTTTTGTTTCAGGATGTATTTGTCTCAATAAATCATTTGAACAAAGTCTTACTGACCTTTACTGAATTCACAAAGATCACACAAATATTCTGTTTCCCATGCCAAATCTTGGTGTGCAGTGTCAGGGACCCAGCTTTTACTCATTATGTTGGAAGTGACATACATACAAAGAAAAGAAAAGTATATCCGATGAACACAAACACAACTGAAACAGTGCTAGCTCAGATGAGCAAAGATATCAAGAAAAAAACCTAAAAGAGAATAAGCCAAGTCCACCTTGATTTCAGAAGACTAAATAAGATTGAAAGCTCAAGCTACTTTTTGGAAATGCGAACGTTCTTTGCCAATGTTTTACAATGCAGCAGAAATCATGTTCTGTCACAAGCCATGACATCTCAAATGAGTTCATACTAAATTATTTTCTTTGATCTAAGCTCATGCATTTTCCTTGTATGTGGTCAAATCAAAAGGCATCTTTCTATGGAGAGTTTGGATTTGAACCTTTGACCATGATGATGCTGGTGATTTGACTTTGCTTAATCAAGGACAGTGAAGAACGATTGGAGTAAGGAGAAACATTTCGGTTCAGAAGTCAGCCAGGTTAGCTTCTGAACCTGAGGAGGGCACATGGACTGAACCTTCTTCTATCCAGTATTAAAAGGCTCCCCTTGCCATCAAAGGTTGTATAGGAAGCAATGCATATTGCAGTGATGTTAAAATATCTCCGTCAATGTTGACCTTACCCCCCAAAATGGTCCTTTTGATAACAAATTCAGCTGATATTCCTCTGTAAAAACTCAATAGATGCTGAAAATATAATATATTCAAGATTCTTTTATAGTTTTCTGTGCCCTAAATGAATAAATAAACACACGGTTTAAAGGCTTCCTTAAAGGGATAATGCATAATCTTCAAAATGTATAAACTTAAACTTGTCTTTATACTAGATGAAATCACCAGTTTGCAGAGGTGGGAGTAAGTCCTACATGAGCAAGTCTCAAGTCTTGACCTACAAGTATCAAGCAAGTCCCAAGTCACTGTGGTGAGAGTCAAGCAAGTCAAGTCAAGTCATTGCTCAGGTCAAGTCAAGTCAAGTCAAGTCATACAAAATTCTGATGAATAAGCCCAGTTTCCGCATTTAAATCAGTTAAAAGACAGTGGTTATGAAAATGGATTTAACCCACACTATGATCTTCATGATTACATACACAGTTAATCATTTGAAATCTAATTTAGACCGATGACAATCATATTAGATTCATATTAACCCTAGAACTGCAGACAATATAGCTAGGACTCAATCAAAAAGTCTGTTCAAAAAGGCAGAATTCCAGGTAAGAAAATCATATATGGCATTTGCCATTACACATATTTAATTTAAATTTCTGTTAACACTAGAACCGCCAACAGCGTCAGCACCTACATAGATATCATTTTCAAATCATTTAATTTGTTCCTCTTCATCATTTCCTTATAAACTAAGTAGGACGATTTAAAACTCACTTAATTGGGTTAATTTAGAAATTGCTTCAGTTTATCATCATAACAGATCAAAAAGTTCAGATTCATTTTACAATAAATCAAGGAATGATGCACTTCTACAAACAAAAACAACATAATTAAAACATTTAAACAAACTACTAAAAGTAGATGAACTACATTATTCAACAGTTTACAGTAACTTCTGATAATAACACAGGGGAAATAAACGAGGCATCTCTTTTCCTCTCTCTCTCCCTCTCCTGACAGCCCGTCAGTATCAGGGTTAGTCAAAATCAGTGGCGAGCCGTGAGCTTTATACCTAGGCCCTCTGACCCCCACCCCTTCCCTCGAAAAAAGAAAAAAAAAGAGTTATTACGTCACAGCGTATACTTCAGCGGAATATCAAAACAACGGCCCAGGGTGCAAAACGCATCAATGACAGCGACCCTCTACCACACAAAACAACACCTGTGAACCCAATTTGTGTTCTTTGACATTGAAAATGATATTGCATTGTGTTTGTTACTTTCATTGCCGTTGTATGTCTTAAGTGTAATTTGGCATGCTTTTATTTTGAAGGCGAGTTCACGCTGTTGACAGGAAGTTGTTGTTGCTATGGAAACAAGAAAAGTTTCACAGCGGGCGGAACTTGTCATAATGTCCGCGATAATAAAACCCACCCATTTAGAGGGAAGATATGATTGGTCAATTGTACTGTCATTTGACATTACTCTCTCGTTCAGTTACTATAGCGGGCCCTCTGTGAATCGCAGAGAGGGCCAGGCGAGCTTCTTTCATGTAACCCCTACATTCAAACAGAGAATGAACAGGCAGATTCGAAGGATTTATTTCTTTGGAATTGTTATTTTAAATACAATTAAATCAAGTTTTTCGAAAGTTTTTCGGTAAAACTAATGAAAAATATAACAAAAATAATATTAAAAAAATATATATTTAAAAAAAATATATTTTTTTTTAATGTTTTTAAATATTATTTTTTGGAATATCTTAGGCCCTCACAGAGGGCCTAGAGGGCCCTGACGGCTCGCCACTGGTCAAAATGAATCCCTTGGCGGTTCTAGTGTTCATTTACCGTTTTGTCTTCTCTTTGCAATGCTTAATCGATTTGAAACCAAGTCTAATGTAGCTTAAACTTAACGTTAGCTTTCTAGCTAACACAACACATTCACGCACCTTTCTCTGTGGGTTTTTTTGTAGTGACGAATGAAGTTGGATGTTGTGGTGGTCGTGTCACTGATCTTTATGCTGCAGACCCTGCATACCGCTGTTCTCTTCTTATTAGCGTCATCGACAACATAATCCTTGAATCCAAACTTCACTATTTTTGGAGTAACGCTAGCCGCTGCCATGTTAACTGACACTCCTGCCATCTAGTGGGTTGCCAGGTTTGCGCGCACGGCGCTATAATCACCCAATCACGTTTTTCGAAAAAACTAAACGTAATATCTCACTACAAAAACAAACGCAAATATTTAATTTTAAACAGTCAAGTCCTTTCAAGTCATCTGTCTCAAGCTTAAGTCAAGTCTCAAGTCATGAATACCAAGTCAAAGTCAAGTCAAGTCTTTTATCAATGTTAGTCAAGCAAGTCTCAAGTCAAAAAATATGCGACTCGAGTCTGACTCGAGTCAAGTCATGTGACTCGAGTCCCCACCTCTGCCAGTTTGAGACTCACTTCCTGTTTTCTGGCTTTGAGAGAAAGTAACCCATGATCACAGAGAATCAGTGGCGTTTTTATATGTACAAAAGTGGTGGGGCACAAAAAACTTAGATGTCTATATATAAGCTTCTGCAGTGACGTGCAGTGAGGTTCATGGCTGGTGAGGCACTGGCACTGACTCTTCAGGTTTACAAATATTATATTTTGACCTAAACCAAAATATAATATTATTTTCAAAAGCTTTTTTTGTCTGATGCTTCGATTAATTTTAAACAGACAGTTCAACAAAAGGATACCCAAAAAATGTAATTTTATCATTTAAATATTGAATTGTTCTCTCTTAGTAAGATCCCATTTTCAATAAAATGGCGGTCTTACCTTGACTTGAAGATGAAGTCCATTTTCCTATCCTTCTGGACAAACATTTCTATTACTTTTTTGTAAAAGTCCTCCTTATCTTCTTGTAGTTTCAAAAGTCTATCATAAATCTAATCCATAGATTTATGATAAAAAAATTATAAAAGTAGGGTAGACATGTGGATGTTATCCGGCTAATCAAAACGTGCATTTATCTAACAGGTACGTTTCCCACAGATCTTATTTTGAGCTATTTTCTAAAATCCTCTGGAGAAATCTC